ATTTAACAACTAGAAAATGAATACTCTACGGCTAAAACCAAGTCATGACAGGTTGCAAGGTCAGAGATTTTCCGTGACTCAACTGGGAGGCTTGCATCAATCGAAAACAAGTTCCGATCTATATCCATCAATTCTGGATTTCATTCAGCAGAAAAGCAAAGATCAAAGCTAAATCAATCAGTTGGCATGGGGCCTTTGCAATCGCCTCGCCGCGAAACAAAGGCAATTAAACTAATTACTGGAAAAACAATCAAATGATAACATGGCACAAACTCCGCTTCGAGGCGAGAATATGCAGGGATATGAGCCAGAAGAATATCAAACAGCGCAGTTGAATTGTTTTCTGATATTTCCAGATTTTTGTTTTTCGATTTTTGTCGACTTTTCCACGCTGGCAAGGCTAGCGGCAAATTGGCGGCAATTTATTAATTCAAAATGGCCAGCAGAAAAAAAAGCGAGGAGAGAAACGCAAATCCTATTTGTCAATTTATTTGCCCAAGTATGCGTGCAATCACAACAAACAACGGAGCAGCAGCAAATGTCAATTGCTTAAGCAAAATTGCGCATAATTGACATTTTTCCAATTTGCTCATTCGTGCTGGCCGGCAGTCGAGGGTTAAGCGGGGGAGGTCATTGTTAGATAGTTTGCCCCAGCACGAACCCTCGGATTCGGCTCCCTCCGATCCCACGTCACGCCCCGCACTATAAAACTGTCTGCGGCAATGATTTAATTTCCCAAATATTGTCGAACATAAATCCCGAGTGGAGTGGGGCATCCTGGATCTTGCGTCCTGACCAAGTGTCAAGTGGTACGAAAGAAGTTGCCGCCGAGGCTGGACCGCTCGCAATGCGACTGGTTTATGGTTTGTTTGCGGCCACTCATTAGCCTGGCCTCCAGCCCTTCTAGCCGTGCTGTAGACCATAACTTAGACCCTGTCCTCGCCCTCGTTCCCGTTCTCGAATGTGTCGCATTGTGTGGCTGCCATAATTATGAGCCTTTTGTTGCTCAATCTGCCGCAACACTTGTTGCATTGTCCTCGCTTTGTGCCTGCGTGTGGGTTCCATAGTTTCCGCCTAAAGGGATTTCACAGCTCATAGATAATCCCATTGGCATAGGAATGGGATTTGGGACTCTTTTGTCTATTCTGTGCAGACGGAGGCGTTGGCTCCCAGCTTCAAACGCTCCCAGATGGGATTTCTCCTCTGCAAGTGTTTATTTAAAGGCAGTTTAAAATCTCTTCAACAGCCTTAAGTATTAGGAATTTGTTCTATACAGATTATGTGTTTGTTGGTTTATTTAAATAATGTCCCCAAACAAAGAAACTTATCAAAGAGAACAAACACTTTCAGTAAACTGTTCATTTATTAAATTGACTTTTATAGTTATTCTCTAATTAAGGACAATTTTAAATGGTTTTTTATGAACAAACATGTATAGGTACTCACACATTTTGTAAAAGCAAATTCGTAGGTAAAAACTGAAAGCTAAAATAAGCTGCTTACTGAAAATGGCATTTGATAATTGGAATATATAACCTACATTTTGCTTGCACTTAAGCAGATATTATAAGCATTGATGTTTATAATGGTTTTTAAACGATGTTTTCCAAGTTATTGCTTCTGCGGCAGAAAAGGGAAAAGTTGGGTCCAATTCAATGAAATAGTTTACTATAATCCAGTAATATTTAACAGCTTTTAATTAAACTTTAGATAGATAGATACCCATCTACCCAACAGTTCCGCCAGCAAGCTGATGAAATATCCCCAACTCCCCGCTTTGGAAATTCTAAGGCTGCGTGAGATGTCGTCTTCGCATTTTGCTGCCTCTGACAATGTCATGATGGCGTCTTGAAAACATTGAAACGGAAACGTAGATGGAACACAAATACATTGTCTGACAAGTTGCCCCTTTCCGTTCCGTCGGCCCTGCCCCTTCCCCCTTCCCCCTTTCCCCTCTCCCCGCCGCCCCTGGCATCTTGGCCATATAGCGTGCGTGGCGGCGGCGGCGGCAAAAGTGGCCCCTATCATTATGGCTGTCGTCTTAGCCGAAATTGGTCGGAGCAGCAACAGCAGCGCACAACAAAGATTTCTCGCTGCGGATGCTCTTCCAGAATGGGCGCCTCCCTTTTCCATTCCCACTCCCTCGCCATCCCCGATTTCTGATTTCTAGGCCTAAACATATTTTGGCTGGGAGACTGCTCTTCAGCGTTTTCCCCCACTTTTCTGTTTTTGGTGGAGGAAAAAATTGATTTACGACTTCCGCTGGCAATGAAAATTCACTTTGGGGTTTCGAAAACGCTTTCGAGCTACTTTAGTTGGCGGTTGGCTGTCCTCTGATTTCAGATTTCTGGCTTCTGGGTCCGCGAGATCACCGATTGAGCTCTAGTCGCCGCTCGGGGTATTCATTTTTATAGACTCATTTAAGGCGATTATTTAGCAATTTTTTAAGACATTTCTGTCGACGTTTTTTCGCATACAGTCTTCGATGCTCGGCGACTGGCTCCTCGCCAGTTAGTAGCGAAATTTATGGCTCAGAATCATTTAAGTTAATGACTTTCAAACGTGTTTCACACTCAAGTGCGAGCGGGACGCACAGACGGCGATCAGGAGAGTGCGAGCGGGACAGGCTGTGGCTGATTGACTTGACTCACTGGCCAAGACAAGTAGCCGCAGTGATTGATAATGCGCTGATTGAATTATGGCCATAAGTGTAATTTGGCCAGTGGCGTAGCCAGCAAGAAGTTCAGCAGTCGGCTGAAGGAGATAAGAAGGGGACTAACAGAGATGGTTACCCAATAATTATTAAATTGTATTTGTTTAATCCAATTTTAAATTTAATTGGTATTGCTGACATACACTACATACCCCCCAAATACTATATACCTAACAAACTTCCTAAGATGTCAATTTGCACAATGAACAATAAAAATCAATGGTCGTCAATTGAGGTCTCAAAAAAAGCAATCCTATTCCTCAGATTCAGTTCTTATATCTCCAATATCTGAATGATATTATTTGATAGAGATTTTAATATTTTAAAATATTGATATGTCCATTTAGCTCCCTCTTCTCCACGCCCTTTGCTTTTGGTGGGCTTTTGATAGAGACGCTTTGATGGATACCTTCCTAGGTCTAGGCCACCTTACGATTTTCTGCTGCTTTTCCCCCGAACAACAGATCTCAAATGGAAGTCGGAATTTGTCTGCCTGATCGGCCTGGGGGCGTTTTTGGGGTTTTATTTTTCAGAGTCGAAGCGAGACGGGTTTTGCTTTGCGGCTCGTTTTGTCTTCTGTGTTTTTGGCGGCAAATCAAACCGAGTTTATGAAATTGGCAAATTGGCTTATGGGCAGTCGCGTCGGCAAACCAAAGCGAGTTGATGGACGACCCAGCTCCATCTCCATCTCCGTCTAAGTGGGGCCCCAGTCGGAATCGGAATCGGAGTTGGAGCTCCAGTCCCAGTCGCAGTCGCAGTCCCAATCCTATCTATGCGTGCCAAAGCGCCAATGGCGTTTTAATTTGAAGTTGGGTCCGGCGTCAGCTGCCGAGCGTTTATGAGCTGCCTGACTGACTGCCGACTGCCGTTGACTTTTATTTATTTAATGTTTCGGCTTTAGTATTTGGCTCTTTATTATTTTATTTGGCTTTTCCTGTGGCAGCGCGAACCTGTTCCTCGTCCGCTCCTCGACTACCTACCTACTGCAAAAGGGAGAGACATCGATGCAAAACTGGATTAAGTCCCTTTTACGCCCTAATCCGCACTGGACCTCGTCGTCTTGGTCATTCTTGTAATGCTCGGAGGGAGAGACCTGCGGAATCCTGACCTGAGACATGGCGCCAGTCAGTCAATCGAGGCCCATTGTCCCTGGCGAGCACTAATAGGATCAGCAATGCTGTCTGAGCCCTGGCGTGAAATCCGCAAATGTTGTTTACCCTGCCCGAAAAGGGGTTGACCCCTGACCTCTCCGCACACCCACTCCGCACTCCCGAGTGCACCCCACAGTAAAGAGGTGTCTTGGTGTTTATTTGTTTTGAACCGGACAGCGCAGCAACTTTTGTTCTGGCCTCTTTTTTCGGCTGCCACTTCGCCCGAACTTCGCCCGAACACTGCCAAAAACAGAGACTGCTTGGCCCGATGAGTCAACAGAAAAGAGGTAATGGTCTCGAAAAAGTTCGCATCGATGCTGATGGGAAAATCGGGCAGACAATGAGAGCCGAGAAAGGCGCACAAAGCTCTCGAGAGTCGAATCAAGATATGGTACTATATATGTGTCCAGGGTAAGTACTGATCAGGCCATCATTATGGCTTTCGATAGCAATTATCTGCTACCGTTTAATTGTGCGCTTGGCGATTTTGTGGCCCGCTGCTGGCTGATTTTTCACACGCATTCGTCGCTGCCCACCTGGTCGTCCCGCTCCCTCTTCTCCACCCCCCTCCAGGCGACTGAGCCTCCGCCACCCACCTAAGCCCACCCGCTCGGGAACTCTGTGAATGCTGTCATGTGTCTAATGAGTCGCTGGCCCAGTTGGCAACTTGGCCCAAAGTTCGCGTTCTCTTTGTGTAATTTGCACACTTGCATGGGCATTTTACATTTCCCATTTTCCCCATTTCCAGCTACCACGCACTCCGATGGACAAGTGGACGGATGGGCTCACCTGAAACTTTGCGGGTAATTTGCATATGGAACTTTTAAATCATACTGCTCGAAGTTCGCCTATGACACCTGGGCTTACGTCTGCAATCGCAGGAGGAGCAGCTGTGCCGTTGGACACATATATTATTAAGCCAACAGCCAAAAAAAGAACTCGGATTTTCCTTTAAGAGGCCATCCCAGTTTCCCAAAAGATCATTGCTCTTATTAGCCAAAATTAAATAGCTGTTTATATAGTTTCCGTAGACTTACCCATAAAATCATCATTGTAACTTCAATATAATTAATTAATTCGATCATCTCTCTAATGTAAATCTCTCGCTCGGATGAATTTATTCAAGTACGTGTAAATCTATCAAACCATTAGTTTAGGAACCAAAAAATAAAGTACTTCCCTCCCGATATCACACCCCCTCTTTAAGATTTGCCCAAGATCGCGTCGTTTCAATAACTAATTCAATGCACCTGCAAGTGCGAGTGTAAATGGTGTGCCATATCATGCACTCGCGGAATATCTCCCATTTTATGGGCGCCATAAATACAGTTTCCAAGCCGAACAAACGAGGCGAGTCATCTCATCGAGTGGACAGACGCGATCACTTAATTACCTGTGCGAACTTTTCAGACGCGTCAAAGTAGGAAAGGGTACAGTGGGCACTCGCTACGACGGAGGGGGCGGGCACAACCGGTTGCAGGTCGGACTGACGTTTTCACCTTGTTATTTATGCGCACGGTCATGCTAAAATCGTCGTAATGAGTGACGGCCATTGAGAGTTGCATTGTCAGCAGCGGATGATAGTTTAATTGTGAGCGGTTCTGGCGAGGATTAGGGGAGACGGGGGATCCTAGCAGAAGTACAGGCTCGAGGGCTTCAGCCGGCCGTACTCCCCGTTCTCGGTGGCCGCCACCCGGATGCCCAGGATGCCGTCGTTCTCCAGCGTCCTCCGTTCCCCCAGACTTTCGACCACATCCTGGGCGGTCACCACGTACTTCTTGAGCAGGCGCCTCCGGTTGGCGTACCGGAGGAAGTGCTCGTCGCCGTACCGCTGGCGACTCTCCAGGTAGATCTGGTCGATCCTCTGGAAGTGGCAGCTCTGCATCCGCGGGTACCAGCAGAAGGTCTCCTCCCAGTGCCGCGTGGTCCGCTCCATGGCGTGGCTGAAGGCGAGCTGGTAGCGCAGCTGCTCCGTGGTCACTATGTCCGCCGGCATCTTGTTGGATCTTGTTTGCTTTGCTCAGTGTTCTAGAAGGTATGGTTGTCGTAGTGGAGGTTGTGGTTGTGCTTGTGGTTGTGGAGTGGACACTTCCCAAATGTGTGAAGTTTCTGGCTGGCCCACCTGATTGGCAGCTGAGTTCCCAGTCCCGATCCCGTTTTTGGTTCCCTCCCTAATCGCATTAGCAGCCACTTGACAGGCAGCAGGTGCAGTGCATCCAGGTCACTCGGTCCTAAGCCGCCAGCCACCTGTGCAAAAACCTGCATACTGCTCTCTCAGAGATCTTTTCTGGTTCACTTGTAATTATATTTAGCTTTTAAGGAAGTCTGCTCTGATATCTTAATAATTTAACTCTCTTTTCGTTGATAACCTATTTTGTTTAATATGTGACACAATATTGACTGCACCACAGAAAGTAAATGCTAAAATTTGACCCAAGTAATATACAATTTATATTCGTTATTAGAATACTTAGAACTGCAAATAACTTTAGAAAAGTAAAGTGTAAATAAAACTCCTCCCATTTCCATTTAGCTCTTGCTGAAGTAGACCAGGATGTCCAAACGCGGAATGCCCCCAACCCTAAAGGTGCTGTTCGATAAGTATCTGCCATCGGGGATTATCGCCTGGACCACCCCGTTCACGTGCTGCACCGGCAACTTGTCCACGATGATGTCGTGCTGCAGGCGGAAAAGCAAACGTCAGAACTGGAGGGCAGGACATCGCAGGACTCACTCACATCGTAGGGGCAGGTGTGGTTCATGTTGGAGTAATGCTCAAAAGTCTGGAACGCCAAATTGGCCACTACGTTCTGGCGGTCACGAAGGAACTTGCAAGCATCTACCTTAAAATCAAATTTGTACAGGACTCGTCCGTTTTCCCGCCTCGTCAACTGAAACCTGACCTGAAACATGGTCGGAATTCGGATAGATTTATTTTTTGTGAGCGGTACTTCCTCTTACCTCGCCGTTGTCGATGGGGAAATGGTGGAATTTCGTTTTGACCGAAAGGTACTTGTAGGTGCGATTGACGGACTTCAAGTAGCAATATTCAAAGTCCATGAACTTCCTGTCCCTCACAAGACAGAGCACATTATTGAATTCCACGTCACCCTGGATCTTTGGGAGTTGTCTTAATATTGGTCTGGCCTTGGAAAATTTCGTATACTCTTGGTTTTTACCGGGATCGGTCCCAAGGAAATCAGCAGCAAGAACATCAATGCGTTCATTCTGGGGAGTGACTGTTTCGCAATATCCATAATAAAGAGAAATATTTAAAAAGTTTGCAATTAAAATTACTCGGTCCATTGCCACTCTAAAACAACCAACCAATCAATCAGTGAGGTGCTGAAGAGTTTTACAATGAATCCCAAATACTCTTGTCTTAATAGCAAAAACTCTAAAATAGCTTAGAACTAATGTATTATTATTGTTTGTTATTAACAAGCTTATCCCTTTAAAGTATTTATTTTTAAGTGATTTTGCGTTTATTTGTAAATAAAAATAATAAACTTGTTAAAAATAAATGTTCTCCTATATAACTTTTGGTAAGCTCCTTAGAAAATAATTAAATTTAACCATTTTTTATCTTAAAAAATATTCTAATTTGAATTTAAATTCAAAAATCGAATTGGTTTTATTTTAGCAAAGTTTTAACCCGTTATGTGTAACCGCTCATTTCTATCGAAGATCTGCACCTCCGTGTTTACATTTTATAACTTCTGGTTTATTTGAGCACATCCAGCTACGGTCCCACTTTCTATTAGGCCATCCGCGTGCTCTGTTTATAATTTAGAATTTGCTAGTTTTGCAAAATAAGAATGGACGACGAGGCAGAAACGTACAAGCTGTGGCGCATTCGTAAAACCATCATGCAGCTGAGCCACGACCGCGGTTACCTGGTGACCCAGGACGAGCTGGACCAGACTTTGGAACAGTTCAAGGAGATGTTCGGCGACAAGCCCAGCGAAAAGCGACCGGCGCGCTCCGATTTAATTGTTCTGGTGGCCCACAACGACGATCCCACTGACCAGATGTTCGTCTTCTTCCCCGAGGAGCCCAAGATCGGCATCAAGACCATCAAGACGTACTGCACCCGCATGCAGGAGGAGAATATACACCGGGCCATCGTGGTTGTGCAGGGCGGAATGACGCCCTCCGCCAAGCAATCCCTCGTCGACATGGCCCCCAAATACATTCTCGAGCAGTTCCTCGAATCGGAGCTGCTGATCAACATCACGGAGCACGAACTGGTCCCGGAGCACGTAGTCATGACCGTCGAGGAGAAGCAGGAGCTGCTCAGTCGTTACAAGCTAAAAGAGAACATGCTGATGCGCATCCAGGCGGGCGATCCGGTGGCCCGCTACTTCGGGCTCAAGCGCGGCCAGGTGGTCAAGATCATCCGTTCCTCGGAGACGGCCGGTCGGTATATCTCCTACCGATTGGTGTGCTGAGAATACCACAGACTCCGCGAGGATATCCGATCTAAATAAATAGCTTAAGAACTCTATGAATTAAGGAAGGGACAGCGAGTTTTATACGTCAATAAATCGCAATCTTTTCGAAGGTTATTGAGTTACTGGTGGGTTGGAGTTCAATTTATAATAGATAAGCAGAGAACTATCTATTTTAGTTTACCTAGAATAGTTTTTATTATATCAATAAATGACTTTAAACATATGGAACACAATTAACATACAAAATTCGGCACTACGTGGACGGCCAACAACAGTTGTTGATTTATCATCAACCGATGGCAATTTTTCATGGGCCAGCGACGGTCACACTGATGAAAACAAAAAACAGAGCAGTAGCGAAAAAATACACAATTATACAACCCGAAACGAAAGCGAGGCGAAGGAGGAGCGTCTAGTGCAGCGGAGGAGGAGGTGACCCCCGGTGACATCGAACCATGGCCATGCTGACCCGTCTGACGAGCAGCGGCACCACCACGGTGGCCGGAGCACCCGGATCGCCGAAGGGGCTGCAGCGGTTCCAGAACTACATCGCCTTCTTGTGGCCGGGAACCCAGCGCCAGAGGCGGAAGTCGACGCAACTGGACGCCATCGACTGCTTCACCAACGACCTGGTAACCAGGAAGACCCAGAAGTGGGAGGAGCTGCGCGACAACCTGATAAAGAGGCAATCATCTGTCCGCGAGACGGATGCTAACAGCAATGTTGCTGCGGAGGGCACGGCGGCTAGTGGCTCCACCAGCTTTAGCCAGAACGTAGGCCTCATGTCAAAAGGCATGATGAGCGATCTCAAGGCGCTGCGATCCCCCCAACTGGGGCTGGACATTAGGTCCTTGTCGCAGGCGCAGCTGGACAACCTGCTGATGGCAACGCTGGAGATCAAGAACAAGCTGGACTTTTTATACCTAATCCGGCAATGCATCCGTTGCAATCTGTTGCCCTCCAACGAGGTGTTCGTCTCCTGTCTGAAGTATCTGAGTGCCCAGAGAAAGTTGCATCAGCTGGAGGCACTGGCGGACACCTGTCGGCAGCTGGGGCACCCCTTCTCACAGACCTACGCCGATCTGGCCCCATTCCGGGCCATCGCCCTGTGGAACAATGGCAACGCGGACGTGGCCCTGATGACCCTGCACCGAGGCTATGGCGTCAGCATGACCTCGGAGGAGGGTAGAAGGATGGCGCGTACGGCTTTCCGTACTATTTCGGAGGAAACTCTGGCCCAAAAGAGCGAGGCGGTGCTGGTCTCGCTGCTGGAGGTGGCACGTGCCATTCACCGCGAGCACAAGGACATCTTCGTGGTGGCCTGTGTGTGGAAACAGTGTTTCGCTAGCGATTGGTTCTGTGACCAGAAATCAGCGGGGGAACTGTTCGAGCACTACAAGGAGCTTCAAGAGCTGGTGGAACGGAGGTTTGATGCTTCAATTTCTTAGAAAACCCTAGTCTTAATCCCCTATTTTCCAGATCCAGTCCCCTGTGCTCTTCATTCCTGGGCCGCAACAATGTAGATGCCGTGCATCGACTTATTGAGGTATTTCTACAGCACCAGCAGCGGTCGGCCTGTTCCAGCTGCCTCAGCCTGCTCTTCAACTATCAATGTGAGTCTTAAGGCCATCGCCAGACATTGAGTAACTCCCATTTCTTTTCAGACATGCGCAAGGATCTGCGTGCCTGCGCTGAGATTGTGAAATCCTGCAGCGAGTTGGAGATGCCTCTTAACGAGCTGCAGAACGAGCAGTTCCTCAGCCTGTTCCTCGATCAGAGCGATCCCGTGGACTCTTCGGGAGCAGGCAGCAAGTACAAGGCACCCAAGTCCTTCCAGTACAAGTTCTAGTTTCCAGTTCCGAAAATGTAAGCCGTTGTCATCGTAGTTTTAGCACAAGTGTTTGCACCATTGAGCAATATTGCAAGCCATCCCCCGCAAAGAAAGTAGCGACTCTTCAATAAATGTTATTTAATGTCCACGTTCAAGTGCAGTCTTCTTCCCGCATGTTACCCTCGGGCAGTTGACCGGGCAGGATGCCCACGCACTCATAGCAGCGGGATATGAGGTGGTTGCCGCATCGGTGTTGCATGCACTGTTGACACCGCGTCCGGGATTTTGTGCCCCGCTTGTTCCGAGCGCAGGGCTTGCACCTCCGGTGCTTCTCGCCATAGCGACTGGCCAGGTTGACGCCCAACGGCAGGCTCATCTTCTCCGGCGTCAGAACACCAACGCTGTGGGTAAGTTTGGCATCGCCGGTCGCCTCGCTGAGTAGCCGCTGACTGGATTGGCCCAGAATCTCGCAGATCTGCAGCCGCATAACCAGCGATGTGCTGGTGGATCGGCGCTGAAGCCGTCGCTGCAGCCTTTGTTGGGTGAGGAAGAGCCCTAGCTGTCGCTGAAAGTCACGCTGCTCCATCGCCGCATCGCCTTTGGGTGAAAGTCGCAGCAGGATCCAGGAATTAACAGCCGCCGCATTGAGGACAAAGTGGAGTAGTTGCAGAAAGGGATTTACCTGTTTCCTTAGGGAACCGGGCGTCGCGTGGGCCGTGCTGAAGCGTTGCGAGAGTTCGTGGAACTGTTGGCAGGCATGTGAGGTTTGCTGATAAGCCTGGATAGCATCCACTTGGGAGCTGAGACCGCAGCAGAAAACTGCCTCGCCGACGAGGGGAATGAGCTTGGAGGAGCCGCTAAACACGTTTGAATCAGTGGGCCATTGACGCGGCCAATCTGGCGAAGTGTTCTCCATCAGTCCCAACGAGCTGATTTGGCGCTGAATCAGTTGCTCGGACTGTGTCAGGTTCAGATGTCGCGCCCCCAGAGTCACATTTCTCCCAGTGGTCTTGAAATCGCAGATCAACTGCTCCACATCCTTTTCCGCGCATCTCTGGTTCCTGCTGACCACGGCATTGGCCATGTACAGCGTTCGGGCATCGCAGCAAAGCGTCATTCGCGACTTGGCCACCGAGCAGGGCGACTCATCCACGGACAACCAACTGCTGCAGCCGTAGTAGGATCGGCAGTTGATGAGGAGTCGTTGCCACAATTTCTGCCCCTCGGCCCAGCCGCAGTTCCCCGCCAGGCACTCGGAGATACTTTCGAATCGTGCCAGGGTCATGGATGCCCGGAATATGGCGTTGCCCAGTTCCAGGGTCCACAGCTCCTCCAGAGGTCCACTGTATCGGGCATTGCGGAACACCCCGCAAAGATAGCTCAAGCCCAGGTATGCCCGCAGCTCCACGATGTCCAGGGGTCTCTGGACTGTCGTGGGCGTCCTCCGCTTGCGCATCTGTTCGTTGACATGGCGAAGCAGAGATCGTAGCATTTCATCGTCAAAAAGGAGCATCCAGGCCTCCACTGCATTGGAAACTGTGCGGGCAGGACCTTTGCCACAGGCGCGTTGCCCCAGGACTGGGAGGCCCTCTTCAGACACCTGAGGATCCCTGGTCGCGCTCCATATTTGACCACTGGAAGATGTGTAGTTGCCGAGATGGCTGGGTGGACGACCCCGCCCTCGCTTTGGGGCAGCTGGCCGGAACGACTCCTCCTTCTTCAGCACCATGTCCGCCAGTTGGTCCTCGTTAATTAGGACATCACTGTCCTCGAAGATCCAGTGAAAATTGCAGGTGGCCGCGGTATCCTGGAGCGGATCGGTGTCCTCCCCGTTGAAGGAGGTACCTAGTGCTGTGCAGCCCGCCGGCGGCTGCTGCTCCTCCAACCGCATCTTCTCGTCATCTTCGTCTTCGTCCTCCTGGTCACTACATTTTATGTTGGCCAGCAACTCCTCGTCTAAAACGCAATCCATTTTGTTTTGTTTACAAAACTACTTCTTAAGTGTGACCGCAGGTGACATCCAGATATTTACCATCCGACCCTAAAGAAATTCAAATTCAAATTGATATTCAAATTTATTGTATGAGAAACCTCTTTTGTTAATATTTAAATAGAAATGATAAGCTTTTTTATTAAGTGTGTCGTTGGGTACCGTTTTATATGACATCTAATAAAAATCGACTGCTTCTGCTAGAGCAGATTTGACATTAAGAAATTTCGCGGTTATATTTGAATTTGCCCTGCGGTTAATTTCGGAACTAGTTACTCCGAATAGACTCCCGTCACTATATTATCGGAGATAGATTATCGCACCTGAGCGGTTATCGGACTAATTTCGTCACTAACATTGTTGTTGTTTTATAGTGAGCAGTGGAAAAAACGAAGAAAACGCTTGGAAAACCGTGTGAAATTCGGAAAATACTCGGTCCTATTTAGTCCCCCGCAGTCCACAACAAGCCCCCGTTAAAATGAATACAATTCGGCGGTCTTGACGACCCCGCCTCGTCTAGCTATCCTTATCCTTCTGGATCAGGGTGCCGAGGGTTAAAACTCTCGGAAAACAAGTGAAAAGTGCAATTAAATGCCAGTGGCAACTGTTCGGATACTGCAGGTGAATCCCCGGGTGCTTAAGATGCCCGTTATTTACGCGCGCAGTGAATTTGTCAAAATATTTCGGCTAAAGTGTCAAATTGACATGTTATATGTCATGGTCTCTCGTGTGCGGATTCGATATCTGTCCGATAGTTATCGATACAGACCAACTTTTTTTAAATTTAAATTTTCATTAAAAGCTTATTTATTTAATAATAAAGTAGTAATAAAAGGTTATTGAAATTGTCTTACAAATTTGAACAAAAGAATACATACATATTGGCCAAATACTAACAGAAAATTAGAATTCGAAATTTGAAATTTGATTTCGGACATAAGTAGGCCATGACTTTGGTGTCTGAAGGATTTGCCTGTCTTCCATTTAAGTTAGTTAATTCTCAAAGCCCGTGGTGTCAGCACGACTAGTTTTTATTCCGAAAAGTCTTTAATCAGTAATATTTTAGAATAAATCTAAATATTACGTGTAAATACGTGATTCCGTTCATTTTCACTCATTTTCGGGAGTCCTTTCAATTGTTTTTTTTGTTTTTTTTTCGTATGCATTAAGGCTTGAGCTGCAATGATCTCGCCGGAACAGGAAGAGTCCAACATGGTCCTGGACCGCCAGGTTCGCCAGAATATCCAGGACATGATGCACGAGGCGCATGTCCAGGCAAGTCTTCTGGAGAGCGAAGGTGAGTTGTCGTGTCTAGGGATAATCCCTGGCTAAGTCGTCTAAATCCGACTAATCCACGTCCAATCCCATATTAGCTGCAGGTCGCGACCACTTCCATTCCGACTCCAGTTTGGACCAGGATTCCCTTCACGCCGACGACTCCATGGCCGTAATAGACACTCTTTCCGCCGATGGCATTGTGGAGGAGGACCTGACCACCGAACAGGGTGGTGTGGATGGCAGCGAGGTCCAGAACTATCACGACATGTTGGTGGACAACGACCACCACATCGACAGCAATGGATTGCTGCGCAAGCGTCGTGGGAATCTGCCGAAACACTCGGTGAAGATACTGAAGCGGTGGCTCTATGAGCACCGGTACAATGCCTATCCCAGCGATGCCGAGAAGTTCACCCTTTCGCAGGAGGCCAATCTCACGGTGCTTCAGGTCTGCAACTGGTTTATCAACGCCCGACGCCGCATACTTCCGGAGATGATCCGGCGCGAGGGCAACGATCCTCTGCACTTCACTATTTCGCGGCGTGGCAAGAAAATCAGCCCGAATTCCTCAGGATCCAGTACTATGGGACAAAACCTCGGTGGGACGCCAAACCCTATCCATGGCAGTCCCGCCTCCGAAGTGGTGAGTAGCATATTTGAAAGAAAGATAAAGGAACGCGTGTACATAAATTAACCAAATAATTTAACGAATATTTCCAGGTCGTCGGTGCCACTGAGGAGGTAGATGGTGCTGGGGAGATGCACGAGGGCATCGCCAATGTCTTGACTAACTTCGAACAGTATGTGCAGGGTCCCAACGGCCAAATCGTTAAGATGGAGCCGGAGTATGAGGATAGCGTTATCTACAGGTACCAACTGTTTTTTCCCTAGTCGTAGTCACTTCTCCCTCCTTTCCCACCTGCCCACATCCTCCTCCACCAAGTTGGCAGCAGGCCATTGCAAACAACCCGATGGGCTTCCAAAGTCTGCACTCCTCGCTGCAAGCAACCATGATAGACAAAATCCAGAACTATCAGATGCGCAAGGCAGCAGCCATCGGAGGATCGGGCGTCTCCAACAACGCAATGAGCTCCAGTTCCAGCTCGAGTTCCTCCGGCCCCACATTGCCGTACGGCTTGTTTGGCCAGCGTTCAACGGAGTTCGATGACGAGGAGAAACCAAGTCCTCCGAAGCGTGGAAGAAAGCGGCAGGCTTCCGGAAAGACTGCCGGCGAGAAGAGCAAGCAGTCGAAGCCGCAGTCTGGGAACCAACAGGAGACCATGTATTGCTATCAGGACGAATATGGCAGCTTTGTGGTGGCCCCTAGGTACAAACGCCGCTCAAACCGACCGAACTATAGCCTAAGTCCGCTGTCAAGTGATTCCTGCGGTGCTAAGAGTCCTCTTTTCTTCTCAGATCCGAGGGCGAGGAGAGCGGACAGGGATACGAGTCCTGCGAGCAGAACAGCGAGGAGGAGGTGCGCTTCGAGACCTCTGATGATTGGCAGAGCGTGATGAAGTGAGTATGTGAGCACATCCGTTGGATTGGCTCTTTCAAAGTGTGTTTCCCTTTTCCAGGACCGTTTTCAGCACTGAGGAGGTTACCACCTCGACTGGGAACAATCCAAGTACTTCTAAGGGGTCTGCTAAAAATGCCGCCTTCTATAATCCCAACCAGCAGATTGCAAAGCGTGATGGTAGGACATATAAATGCGTGGATTCGAGAGCTATTTGAATTCCTTTTTTGGGACTTTCACAGGCAACCCACAGTTGGCAGCCTCCAATAATGAGCAACTGCAGGCCTCTGGATTCGACAGCTCTGTGCTTGTCAGCTCCAATCAACTGGAAACTACTGATAATTTGCAGGCGGACGATGTGTTTTCAGTCACCGATGCTGAAACTGGGCCGACTCAGTCCTCGCCACCATCGCAGAGTAAGTTGCACCGAGCTATCATTATTTGTTCACAATTGTTTAATCTATAAATAATCCCCTGCAGGTCTCAGTCGAGAGGAGCGTGACAAGTACAAGTGCCTCTATTATTTAGTGGAAACTGCCATGGCTGTTCGCCAAACAGATAGCAACCAGGACGAGGAGTTCGTCTACATGGGCGACTAGGATCACAGCTGACTAGCCACGCAATAGATCTTGACGATCCGAAGTGCAGAGGCGTGTATATATATATTTTAGTAATTCGATTGAACAGCAGTTTCTGCGCGTACTACAGCCAAGCCTTATGCTTAGGCGTTTGTTATTATGTTAATGAAGTAGGTTACTAACTTAATGTACAAATCATTAGATCAATTTCACACGGCAATTGCCCATTCAAATACGCATATCCACCATGTCAATTTACGTACAATTGCCCTGTTTCAAACGAAAAACACATGATGGGTGTGATTTTTTCAAACTAAAAACGATTGTGTAAACTACTGGTATTTAAATAAACCAAAAATCTGTGCATTTGCAATTCCCCAGGAACGCTGCAGTTTCTATGTAAACGTTGTGGCTTTAATGGATTGGGGTGATTTAATTTAAATAATTTAAAGGTGACGAAAATCGAAGTCGAATCATTCAACCAATATTGAAATTGAATGTCTGTAAGAAAAGTTATGGGCTTGGAAGTGCAGGTTTTGGGCCACTTTTTTACAAAGCCATTTTCTGAAAATTTGGTAAGGGTTAACATCAGAAAAATAATGGAAAATCGACCCCAAAATGCAAACCAAGCTGAAAACAGATTTTTAGAGAATTGAACCACAATCATTTAGAAATATGCCACTTTGAAATCGGATGTCTGTAAGAAAAGTTATGGGCTTGGAAGTGCAGGTTTTGGGCCACTTTTCTACGAAGCCATTTATTGAAAATTTGGAAAGGGGTAACATCATAAAAATGATGAAAAATCGACCCAAAAATAAAAACCAAGATGAGTACACAGATTTTTAGAGAATTAAACCACAATCATTTAGAAATATGCCACTTCAAAATCGGATGTCTGTAAGAAAAGTTATGGGCTTAGAAGTGCATGTTTTTAGGTATCTTTTCAGCAAAGCCATTTTTCAAAAATTTAGAAAGGGGTTAGCTCATAAAAATGATGAAAAATCGACCCAAAAATGAAAACCAAGATGAGTACACAGATTTTTAGAGAATTAAACCACAATCATTTAGAAATATGCCACTTCAAAATCGGATGTCTGTAAGAAAAGTTATGGGCCTGGAAGTGCAGGCTTTGGGCCACTTTTCTACAAAGCCATTTTTTGAAAATTTGGAAGGGGGTTAGCTCATACAAATGACGAAAAATCGACCCCCAAATACAAACTTAACTGGAAATGCAGATTTTTAGAGAATTAAACCACAATCATTTGAAAGTATGCCACTTTAAAATCGGATGTCTGTAAGAAAAGTTATGGGTTTATGGGTGGTAGGGGCTAGAGCGGAGAACAGGTTTTTTCGTTAGATTTGGTTTCTTCAAATCAGTTTTCAATGTTTACATGTGCGATTAAATTGCAATTTGAAATGCAACACAAAGCTTAATAAAAACTTTGAACATTTCAAAGACGTTACTATTTGCCGCCTTCTTTATTAGTATTTTTATATATTTTTAGTATTTTTTAATGCCAAGAAAGTGGGGTATTAAAGCGTTTTCCAAGCACGGTCAGTCGCCGATTTTGTTTTTTGTTTTTTTGCAATAAATGTTTGCCCCGCACAAAAAATTAACTACGCCAATGGCAAAACGGGTCGTGCAATTGTTTAATTACTGACCGAATGTCTGGAATACGGCAGACTGTATCCGAAACAGACGTAATTGTAGTTTGTTTAAGTGCAGACCGATTTTCCGCACTCGCTCGCCATCTCGCTCGCTCTCACTGTCGTCGTGTGCACTTTGTGTGAATTACAGCACAAATAAGTCGATTTCCATTTCAAAAATGTAAACCTGCCGACGCACAAAGTCGCAAAAGCAATATAGCAAATATAGACTGTTACTTAGGGCCACACCTGCAAGGCGCACGCTTATGCTTATCTTACCGCACCAGCAACACCCTAGAACCGAGGCAATAAGTACCATCACCGCACCCCGACCGTCTGCAGTTTTGTCCTGGCATCGGAGGAAATAAGGACATGCAAAGAGCATTTCCATCCGCAGTGTGGGTAAGTCCATAGGCCTACGTACATTTGTCCGCAGTATTTATGCATGTGTGTGTGCTTGGGCAGAGACCTACGCATGGACTTTGGGGAGGGTCCTCCACCGCCAAAAAAGCAACTTTCCTTTGGAATTATCCCAAAGGAATATGGGACAAGTCCTGTACAGGAACTTATAAAACATCACGAATGTTTCATAATTATTCTTCCTATTTTAATACTTTCATAATATGCTTACTTTAATATCGTAGCAAGTAGCATTTATTTATATTCCAATTTGTTATTAATTCAAATAAATTGTCATTATAGCATGTAGCCTTAAAAGTTGATCAAGACGTTTTGTTTTGTACGAAAAAAACTATTCTACGATAATATGGGAATATTGGTTTTTAAATTCGTATTGTTTTCAAAGATTTTTTATAAGCCAACCCCTTTTAATGAAATCATCCATGTGCCACTGTGATTTTGCGAGTGCGCTAGTACGTGTGCCGGCATATTTTTTGGCTATTAGGTATTTGCACTTTTACTTTCACGTTTCGGGTTTCTTGTCTCCATTGTGGCTTTGTGGCCTACTTGCCCCATGACTTGCTTAATTTCTGGCTGCCGTAATCTTGACGCATTTGAGATACTACATAATGGCACTGTATAATACCCTCAAGAGAACACAACTGGGGATGTGGGTAACGAAAGCGATATAGAAACAATGCGCTATGCAAGCTCCACTTGAGAAGTTCCAGCACATCACAAAACAAATATGTTTGTACAAAATATTGTATAAGTTAGATTTTTAATGCCATGTAGGCAGTATATTTTTGTTATCAGTTTCCGTTGCTGCCCCAGAAGAAATAATCTTGGAAATACGGCTTGAAAAAGCTATTTTGTTTATTTAGAAATGATAGAAGAATGGAATTTATTTATTTTATTAAAGCAGTACTTCTTTTTTTCTGATTCGCCTTTTTTGAATTATATTAATTATTTTCTGGTGCTATAACTAAAGAACTTTTCAGATTTCGTGTACTTTTTTTAGGATTGTGCATTTTTGGGTCATACCAAATGCCAAATGGTTTATATTTAGTGACCCAATGGAGTCTATTTTTGAGCACGTGCCCGGCACTACCAGCGATGATGATGCTGACGATGATGATGATGATGACGATGACATCGTCGAAAGTGGCTCGAGTAGTTTGGCCCGATGCCCCGGCAGGAACACAAGTTTTTAAGCGGCAATTTGCAGCAATTATAAATACGAGAGGCTGTTGGCAAAGTGCTTGTACTCACACCTCACATCCCATGACATCAAACCCTCCATTTTCGATTCGCCCATTCGGTTCCCCCTCGTGTGCCTCTTCTGGTGTTATTAATAAATCGAACGGGGTGATGGAAAGGGTCAGCGGCGCTGCGCAGTTTGTGGTGCCACCTAAAAACCCTGTACCGCCCAGCTCCACCCAATTCCGCCCATTCGAACCATGAGTTCAGCTCGGTTCAGTTTCATTTTCAGCTCTCGTTCGCTCTATTTTGTTTGGCCTGCACACATGCACATTAGCAGGCGTCTGGTGCTCTCTTTTCTATTATTTTCCCACCCACTTTTCGCCTGCTTTCCCCCGTTTTCCCCCACTCAGCTGTGGCTGCCATTCGGCAGCGGCAGCAGCGGCTGCGACTTGTTGTGCCGCCGTCAGCGGCAGACGCATCGCTTTCAGTTTGCAATTATCAACAAGGCGCGCTCCTCTTGGCCGGAGCATCGAAATTGTGTTAATACGTCGCCCAGAAATCTCGCTGGCATGGCCATAAATAAACCAAAATTAAATTCATTTTATTTATTGCCGGTGCTCACGTGAAAAATTCAACGAAAACGATTCAAATGCCGTTAACACGACGGTACGAGTGTTAAACAAAGTCATATAGGCAATGATTTAAAAATAAACAAAGCAAATTAGACGCTTTGATCGGGGTTGAGTGGCTTTAATGTGATCGCAAGTGTAACCGAGGCTTTTCGGTCGATGCATACATAATAATTACAATCCCCATTTCCCACCCACTTAAGCATTTCAAGGTTGCATAAGCGCCACGAGCTGGTTACCCCTGCACCTGGTTGTCAAATGAAATTGTGCACAATGATGAGAGCCACTAACAAGTTTCTTGTTACCATTTCAATGTGGCACGAGGGCAAAAGAAAGGTAGTTGTAGCAGAGAAACAAGAGTTCTCTGGCCCCCTTCGTTTTGTCATCGCTTGACCACACACAAAACAGAAACCGCAATTGTTAACGATTTCTGTTGCGAATACCCTTGCAATACTTGAGTTTCAGTGAAGATATTCCAAGTGGTGCGTACTTGATGTTAATCTGTGCCAAATTGGGTGGAATTCGTATGTATACTTGATATTTGGAGTTCTTTGAAAGAGCTTTGGAGTTATTCTAAGTATGCGAACGTTGCGTATACTTGATATTTATGAAAATATGTACGCATACTTAATATTCAGTGTTGTTTTGTTGTTTAGTTAATTATGGTCAGAGCTTAAATTAATAGGTTAACTTGAGCGCTGATATACTTTGCAACTGTTTCAAAACCATTTGCACAGTCCATTAGATATTTAAAGAGAGTTGTTATAATTATGTAAGAGAATCTCGTAGCCGACCTGGTGACACTTTTCCCCTTGAATTTCTCTTGATCCCCTCATGCAAATGATCCAGACGAAAAGACAGAGACATAAACCCGTTGTCTGTCTGAGGTAAGTGCGGTGGAAAAGGAAAACGGAAAAACTAAAGGGGGTTGGAGAAAAATGGCGAGTGGGTGGTGTTGGCTGTTATCTTGCCGCTTGTTAGCCGTTGTCTTTGGCGATTTGTTTGCATGTCATTCCTTGCTCTGGTTTCGTTTTTTATCATCTCCTTCGCTGCGTTCCCCACCCGTATTTAATACAAAATCAATCGGATTGCGTCCGACCGAGCATTATAAACTCAAAACAGTGCTCGTGTGCAATAAGGCGAAGGTTGCGAATTGGGGTTATTGAGTTGCTTGTTGCTTTCGATTACAACTTTTGATTTGATTTTATTGATACGAGTATTCGAAACGAACATTTACAGGGATATGCATGGGCTTATTTCTAAACACTTGAACGTTAAAATTATTGTTTCCGTTTTTGCTTCAAATTTTCCTTCTTACCACAGACATCGCAAGGATAGCCAGTTCATGTTAGCAGACACTTCCTCCATAAGCTCTTAATAACGAATAGATATTAATAGTATATTCCTATAATTTAAGAGTGGTATTCTTCATTAACTGCAGTGAGATCTTAACCCTCTTCAAAGCTTATTCAGAGCCACTTACGAAATTTAAAACTTTGAGTTCGAAAAACCTGTTGTTTTTACTGGCACTTCTCTCTATTCGCAACTTATCTTAGTTAAGCACACTTGTGTTGTAGATTTTTTGACTACAGCTTTATAACTAATGTTAATTCCTCGTTGGGCTCACACATAACCACTGGACTCCAGTTTGATGGCACCCTCGTATGTGGGCAGTCCCGATCTGTCAATGATTTTGCTCATGTCCAGGCTGATGATGCCGTTTTCGTTAATGTTGTTTAAATCCTGTTCGACCTGTTGTCCCGTGGCCTGTTCCTGCTCCAGTTCCTGTTCCTGCTCCACCTCCTCCGGCTCTCTGCCATCACTGGATGTTGTTTGTGGTGTGTCTGATGTTGCTGCGTTGTCATTTTCATCATTGACAGCGGTTATGGACAAGGGCACGGCGTCATTTTGAGGTGGTTCATCAATAGTGCAGACCCGAACATTCCCGTTGGCCTCGTCCTGCAGAGCATCCCCAGAAATGTGGTTGCCATTATCGATGTCGCTGGGACAGGGACATAGAGCCGGCTCCTCCCTTCGCCCAGTCATATTCAGACCACTCTCCACGGACAGAGCGGTTAGGGGCTCATCTTCCGCCTCACCCTCGTAGCGGAACTTGCCGCACAGCGGACAGCCGCGTCGGTAGTGGTTGCCACTGTGCTGGTGGCTCTGCTGCAGATACCGCCGCCCGAAGGTGTTCAATCTGATGTTCTGGGTCGGCTTGCAGACCTGCAGCGTCTCCATTTCCAGGCAATTTCCGCTGCGGGCAGCCACCGCCGCCGCCGCCGCGTTCCACATGCTCTCCACCTCGGCCCGCTGCAATGAGCAGCAGGATTGGGCATTCAGGGCCAGCTGCAGCTGCTTGTTGACCAGGAGACCTCCAGCTGCCCCCGCGGCACTGCCCCCGGCCACTGCGTCCCCGCTGCCATCGGGTGTACCGCGGCCAAAGCTCGTCCCCTGCCCCCCGCTGATGTCCAGCGAGGAGCGGTATCCCGGCGGCGGTGAGACGCGCTGCATCAGAAGCTGCTGCTGCTGTTGCAGCTGCAGCTGCAATTGCTGCTGCTGCTGTTGCTCCAACTGCTGCTGGTGGAGTTGCTGCTCGTGCAGCACCACCGCGTCGTACGAGGGCGGTGGTTCGTGGTGCAGGGCGGGCACGGCGGACAGTCCATCTGTGGAGTCCCCCAGAAACAGGCCAGATGTCTCGTAGCACTAAAAATAGGGGAAGAATTTTACTTGATTAGAAGGGTGGTATATAATCGGCAAAAGATCATTTATTGATTTTGTATGGTTTGAATGATCTTGTGAACTCTTTCCAGTAATCTCAGCTTTTTAATTTAGAAAACTTAAACTAGTACGTGATCTTACGTCCCTTAATATAAAGCTTCTTGTTTATTTATGTCCCCCCAAGTCGTGAGTAATGGCCGATCTCCATTTGGCCGTTTGTAATTTACCCCTTAATGGAGACGAGGTGGACAAGTAAAATTTACGCGATCAAATAAAAAAGTTTAAATTGCACACATCATAAATTTATTTGTCTCTTCTGGGCAATCTGCAACCCACCCATTTTGCCCCTAGAAATCCGACTCGTTCTGTCCGCAGTTGACATTTGTGCCTGGACAGGCTAACGTTGATTTACGCGGAGCCTTTTGCCGGCGTTTTTTCCCTCGTTTCCCAGCGGGCCAACAAACAACAATGAACTGAGTGATGGCCTTTGGGGGTGGTGGGTGGTAGGTGGAATAGGGAGGTTTTAGTGGCCTGCCGGCGGCTTGTAACTTAATAAAGCGCGGTTTCTGGGGCTCTTGCATTGGCTATAAGCCAACCACAACTGCCGCGCCCCTTTGGTCAACTCAGTTTCTCGTCGTTGTCGCACCTGTTAAATGCGCCGCATAAATATCCATTACCGCCCTGCTTTTCGCCCCCTTACTTTCAGTTTCTGACTTACTTTTAAACTGTCCTCATAAAATGTTGGTTCAAACTTGAAAAAGTACAATTACGGTTGGTTTGTGGTTGGTTTTAGGGCCCAATTGGCTGCTACGTAGATACGGGGAATATAAATGTATTTTGTTTCCCTATAATTGTTATTTTAGTCACTAATACACAATCGATGTTGATTTCAATTTAGATCAATCAAATCATTAAATGAATGGCTGCTTGTAGGGAAAGTTTGTTGTGAAGTTTGCCTAATTTCCATTTTCTAACACTCGTTTCAACTAGCACTTAACATTATAGTGGCATATTGAGCTTTTAATTGATTAAACTTGTTATGAATAATTGGCGGTCATTTGTAGATGAACTCTTTATTTTTTAAGTAAATTGATAATAACACAAATAAGATTGCTATAGTTTGATTTGAGTATGAGCCTTTTACTCTCTCAACCTCTAGACAAATAAATAAGTCTTGTTCAGAATTAAAAGAGCGCAATAATTGAAATCCCTTCACTAGCTGTTATTAATTGAATCCCGACCAGCAAGGGATTCTCCCTGTTCGTTAGCGGACATGCCGATTCCCATAACTATTTGGAATGCCGTTGACATCCGTTTGTTATTATGGCTGCCGGACAACAAAGCTCCTGGACCCCGAGGTACAAAGCCATTGATGTGGGCAGCACAACTCACCTGTTCCACGCTGTATATTTCCATGTTGGGATCGCCTTCGAGCCACTGATGCTGCTGCTGTCTGTAGGCGGCCTCTGTCCGCTTTTTGATATTCCGATGGCAACAATAGCAGACCACACACAAAATGGTTGTCACCAGGGAAAGCATCGCCCTGCAAGGAACATAATCGAATGGGGATGTGAATGCAATGTTGTTCCACGGATATCAGCCACGTATTCGTACTCATGTATTTTTCGAAATGTTTGCTTTGTCTGGTGACATAAAATTGATTGCGAAGGCTCGATAAATGGCCATCATGATAATATCGTATTAATAACGTTTTTGGTATTTATTAATTTTGTCGAACAAATTGCAAATGTTTGTGTGTTTATTTATGTTGGCCTCTGCTTGCATATTGATAGCATAAATTCCCTGCAATATGTTGGCTTTAATACATCACCAGTGCGGAAATTAGTTTCCTTGCCGTATGGTTTTAATTAGATAGTGCAGTGGCTCTCAATACATTTTCAAGTCAAAAGGCAAACCAACTGTTGATAAGTGCAGAATTCAAGGAAAATTGCCAATTATCTTAAACTGAATAAGACATCACAGTGCAGTGGGTTTGGAAATTTATCAGATTTGTGAGTGTGTCTATTGTTTTCTAATGGCTATGCTCTACATTTTGCGCTCTAATTTCATTTCAATCTTTATTTGTTGTACTGCACTCATTGTTCTAAGGATTTAATTTTAATTTATTTACCTCTAGATTGGGCTACAATTTTAATAGTAAGCAAATTAATTAATCTATTGTCCGAAGACATTAAGCTGATTTTGTGTTGAAAGGATTTAAGTTCGGCTAATGGTTTTATGTTTATAGCTTTCACCTAACATTTTAAATGTCATTTATAAATAAGCGTGTTGCCTAATGTACGTATTTATTGATGGCCAGTATTTGTTTTATTATTTATTTAATTCTACATGAGTTTCTTACTTTACAGTTTTAAACCTCTTTCCTATTTCTCGAACTTGTCTTGCAGATATTAAAATGTTCTAAATTTGTCAATAAATCCGGTGGCTATCATCTTGATTGCCAGTTATCAAATTTTCCTTTTAGCGCTGTCGGCCAATTTGAGTCGGTTTATTGAAACCCACTGGTTTATTTAGTCGCTTCGAGTAGATTTCCTTAGTCAAAGCATTTCCATGACGTCACTTAATCCACTTTAGAATGCAACATTGTGTTCCACTTGTCTGTCCAGTTTTTTTATATCTTTCCCTCGTTTTTTTGGCTTTCCATTTTCCCTGGCTCACGCCATTTCTCGCATGTCAACAGTTCATTAGGGCCCTCTTTTGGACCCAGTTTTTCGAACCTTCCCATTCCGTAAAGGCGAAAAAGAGACAACAGCGGCATGTAGAGGGTTTTTCCCCAAACCATTTTTTATTCGAGCTATTCAATGAATTGCCCAAGACAATCGATAAAAATTTAGTTAATATAAAGTTTTTCGGCTTGTGTGGCGGGTGATGTTTACTGACATCAAGAAAACCTATAAAACTGCGTTAACAAAATGGCTTTGGTTTTTGTTGCTTAGTGTGGGTTTTCCAAAAAAAGCTCGTGTTGCACACGAAAATAATTTTTATTAACAAGACCGGATGCTTGGGTTTCGCCGCTAGGAAGAAGCGAAACAGAAAAATGGCTTGGCGCAATTGTAATTATTATATTCGCTCAACAAGGAAAAGCGGAAGGCTGACATCTTCGCTAGCAGAAAGCGAAAATGTTGATGTTTATTAATTTGCAGCTTCAACCCATAAATCAACCGGTGCCAGGCATTATGATCTATTAAAGCAGCTTGTAATATCCTTCTTAAAAGTGTCTACAAATAGGGCAATTACTGCAAGCATTTCACAGGAATTTACGACCTGCTATAAACATTTTAATAATTGACTTTGGGGTTGCCTAGAGACGTATATTTGTCTGTTTTTCCAGTAAAACTTGTTGGTTAAGTCTAATTATTTAATGACAAACTCACTTATGGGAGCAAGCCATTAGTTACCAGGAATAGCAGCAATGATAACTAGATTTTCCATGAATTATCCACAAGAGCTAATTGCTAAATTATTCTAAAATGTGAAATTTAAGGTCTCAAAAGGGGTGCTTAAAAATGTACATATTTGAACGATTTGGGTCTTGTTCCAATTGTTTTTTGTCCAAACTTTTATGCCAACTCTAATTAATTAATTGGAAGATGACTGTGGGGAATGCTTAGCTATTTGCCAAAAGTTGCAGCCATGATGTGTGCCACTCTTTCGCATTTCCCACGAGCCTCACCTTGGCTCATCTCTTGAACTTGGCTCTGAAGCCTTGCCTGCCATCAGTCAGTTGCCATAGCTGTCAGACTTACCCGCCGAGCAGCAGATTCACATTGCCGTTGACAACATTTGCATACGTCTGGGGTCCACCAGGTCCTCCACCGCCACCAACGCCCGAAATGACAGATCCTGAGCCACCGCGCTGCTGATGATATTGCCCCAGTCCGCCGGTGTAGTAGGTGGTGTGCGTCGACACCGAGGACGAGGATGAGACATGCTCCTGGGACTGGGATTGGGGTTGGGACTGGGACACCAGCTCCTCGCTGCTGAAACTTCCATACGATGATGATGGAATTTCCTCCGTCGTGGCAGGCACCGATGTTGTTGTGGACGGGATTGTGTGCTTTTGATTTTGGGTTTGACCGAAGGCCAGCAGAGTTGCATAACGCTTTAGAGACATTTCACTGCGGCTGGAAATCGAAGCTAGGCGATTGCATAACGATTAGCACGGCGCACTCATTACGTTTCCATTAACACGCACACTTCAACCCCAAACGCGTCGCATCTAGCCTGGCTAGAGCGAAAGCTAAAGGCTCTAGACCGCAGCAAGGACGAACAGCGACTGCCAGGAGTTAGCCCTCGCGAGCGACGACCCGAAGGCAACAGCAACAGCAACACTGCACGACAGCAACACCAAGACCAATTCTAGCTGTCACACTACACGAAAACCAATTTCTTAAATCACGCTCAGGTTTTTCAACTCTCAAAACATTCAGTGCTAACAAAGATATCTATGGAATATTTCAAACACTTTATCTTTCAAAGTACAAGTAACTTCTTTTTCATAAGTACCCAAATACATAGTACATTTTTTATGTTTACATTTTAAAAACGTACGCACTTATTATTTTTCACGTTTATCAATATTTGATATTTTAAATTTTATAAATATTCATTTTTACTGGTACTGCACACTTAATATTTAATAATTTGTTGGATAAATTTCTTTGCTGTTCCGTTTAAAAGCAAATGGAGACACTGGTTGATATGAGAACTGGATATGCATTTTTATTTTTTCCATAAAAGTTTATTTTTGTTTTCCGAGTGTAGTTGTTACAACGATCGATGGCCAAGGCAAGTCTATTTCCGTAACTCTAAGTTTTGGCCGCGAATCGCGAGTTGTGCGTCTGGGCAAATGCGTTGCGCTGCTGCAACTGAGCTCCGGCTTGACTTGCTGACTAGTTTGCTGCCTGGTCGTCCTGTCCCGAGGACTTTGGCTTGGCTTATCCTTTTGTTGTGCGCCCGACGAAGTTGCCTTGGCAACCGAGTGAGCCAGCCTTCGGTTTGGGCTTTGCACTTCGTGTTCCGTGCTGCTGCTTGGTTTTTACTGGTTTCTGTTGCTGGTTGCCTGTTACAAGTTGCGTTGCCCATTTTTCTGCGGCATTCCCTCTCTTTTTGAGGAGGGGGCCGGCGGGTGGAAAAAGGATATGTCGACGACAAAGGCCAAGCACGGCTATTTGTATTGAGCTTCCTTTTGTATCCCTTTCACTCGCCTCAAGTTTTCCCTCTGTTCGTGCACGTTTCACGTCAAATTGAGCGCCAAATGCTTTTGTATGCCCGTATGGGTTGTCATTATTGCTGTTGTTGCTGCTGCTGTTGGTGTTGTTGTGGGAACCGTGCATGCCATTTGAACAACACTTGTCGCCAACTGACATTTTTCACGGCATGCGGCCATAAATAATAATGCGACTCAGAAGCAACAGTCCATGCCGCGCATATTGAGCATGCAACATGCTGCATGGCACACGCTGCGTATGCGTGATGCGGTGAAAAATGCAGGCCAATTATGCTGGGGGAAACGGTTGCTAAACTGTTGTATATAAATTAAATTTTATGGGAGTTAAATGGTTTTTTAAATTCACCCAGGTCTATTTCAAAGCAATAGATGGTTTTTTCTCTGCGGTTCCATTTTGAATATATATTATATTTCCAACAAAGGATTGTAGTTTTTAGAATGATAAATAATATATAAAAATAGCCGCGAAATTCATTAAAATTAAAATAATCAATAACGTTCTCAATTGCAATGAATTTAAAACATAATTTGTTTATCCGGGTCATTGTTCTTTATGCGTTCCATTTGTTATACATTTCAACATATCTACTTCCCCAAAATACGCCACAATATTGTAATAATTTTGAAAATGTTTCACCGTAATGCCAATGAAATGTATACATTTGCATATCGGCCACGCTTTTTAGCACCCGTACGTAATTATCATCATAATTGCCAGCCGTTAGCATCCAATTGAAATTCAGGAATTATTTGGGCAAATTTGCTTTTAATTTATGGCGCTCTTGCCTGTACAAACATTTAAATGAGATTTTCCACGGCGCCTATGGAGAGTTCCCAATATTTGGGAGCGGCAGTGTGCACTTGTTCTGGTATAGCTAAACCTATAGATATACCTATGCCAGGTGCATACAATCGCAGGCCCAGTCGCCCGCCGATTTCAAGAACATATGTAAATAGTTGCACGCCATTTTTACCGTCCCGCTCTTTTATTTTTGGGTTTGCTGTGCACAGGGAAAAACAATAACTAAGTTTTTCGAAAAGTCGCAATAGTTCTTATCAGTAAAAGTGCGATCAATTTGAGATTTACAAATTAACGAAGTCGTAAAAATCACTAAATACAGTAATGAAAATAATGTTGATAATAATTTTTTAGCTTGAAAATTTTACTGGTTGTTATTATTTCACAAGAAATTAACTTAACTACGAATACAAACTTATTTAAAATTAACTATTTGGTTTAAGACAGATCAAAGTTAGTATGCTAGTAATAGGCTGATGAAGGATAATTAATTTCTTTTAAAATGGTATAAGAATTTTATCCCAATTAAAAACTTTTAGAACGAAAATGATTATTTGAACGTAAAGGTGGCGGTGTAAAAGTTTATCCTGACTTTTAGAAGTATGGTATAATTTTTTTTTAGTGCACTTCTTCCTCTCCCTTTCGCTCCGGGTGTGTTTTAGCCGTGCCAACTGTTTGTTGACGGCGTCGTCGACGTTCGAGCGTCTTGAAATCCGCGCAACGTCGCCGGCTTAATAGTAACAGTTTGGCCCGTAGTTGTTGCCAGCGCCTCGAGTGTCGCGCGCGCTTAAGAGCACGTCAGCCTGGTTGTTTCTGTTGCTTTCGCCGCTCGACGGCCGTGAACGACACACAAAAGTTGCCAGCATTTTAGTTTTGCATCTCCGGCGTAATTTTAGATTTGTGTGAAAGGAAATTTGTCAATTCAGGACACCCAGGACAGGAGGAGCAGAAGGCGCCTTTTTGCATGTCACGCCGCCCCTCAACAGTTGGCAGCTGGCAACGTGACTCATTAGCGCGTCTCGCTGTTTTGGGGCAGAGTGTTGTTGCAGGGGCATGCGGGGCGGTAGCCGCCCACCCACCGACCGGCCCACTGATGATGGATAGTTTCGGGCGCTTCTGGTCACTTTCGAGCGGCGCTCTGCGCACGCGTTGCGGGTAAGCCGAGGGGACCGAATCAAAACCGAATCGTGGTTAAAAACAGTCAATTAAGCGAGCAACTGATGACCCAAATAAAAACAAAAACCATAAAGAATCAAATTTGTTTTTGAGAATGTAACTAAAGGAAATTAAAGACAAATTACTTTAATATAAAGTACGTTATTTTAAACTTGCAGTTTCTCTCTCTTTAAATAAACCTATACTTCTTTTGAACTAATTAGCTTTGTTACTACTTCGTTTGCTTTGTTAAAATAATAAAGTTGGCAAGAAACTTTTTGCCATTCTAAATCAAGATCACTTTAGGTTCTAAACTGTTTAAAACCCTATATATTTAAAATCTTACTTCTTTCTAACTAACTATCATTTTTGTTCATAAGTATACGGGTCACCAAAAACACTGCAATGTATGCTACACTTTGTACACATATTTTTGACAGTCGTCAGTGTGCTGTGTATGAAGAAACTAATGAGGCTGTCACATTCAAGCAATCCCTTCTTGCTGCCCCTCAGCCCACGCTCCTTGTGGTTTTTTCAAGCATTGGCAGCATTAATTATGCATGCCTGTTGATTTATTATGCACGACCATCAAGGTAATGATGGGACCATGCCACAAGTAGAGGCACGTCCATTGCATTGGGGCACCGGCTGCCATGCTGCCACCTTCGACCTCCTCGTTGCCAGTGGCAACTGGAAAAACGGGTCTGAAATGGAGAATTCACCTGGTTGCATGACCTGCGAAAGTATTTCATATTTTCACATGAAGTGTAATGAAAATTTTAAGGTCTCACCCATGCCAGCTTCGATTGTTGAAGTCACACGCAAAGGTTGCAGGTCCTTGCCGTTTTTGCCACTGCATTACAGGTGTGTGCCGCCCACTGCCGCCCACTCATGAGGGAAAGCGTCACGATACCTGGCACCAGGTACCACTCTCCATTGGTGGCAAGGTCTCGTCCTCATTCTTCGTCTATGCTAAGTTTAAAAGAGACCGCCCTAAAAATATATAAAATCACATTGGGGTTTATTGGTCCTCCACTCATTTGTTAAGTAATTTGATTTAAAATCGATAAGGAAGTATTCAATGTTGAATTATAGGTTACATTACAACCAAAAATATGGTTGTTACACAGGTTTCACTTGCTAAATAAAACACACAGCGCACAGGGGAAACATTAGGTTTCGTTCGGTCTATAAAAGTTTTTAAGAAGTGTAGTACCTTCAAATGCTTTTACCTATCCGAATTTCAATCTCGACTTTTAAAGATCCTTCACTCCCAAGCTTCGAATCAGAACTTTGCGTTTCTTTCTTTTGTTGACGTTTACCAAAGCAAGCAATCCTAAATATTCAACCAAATTACGAAATCTTAACTTTTCAAATACATAATGGGACATAGATGCGTAGCCGCAAATGTTTGTATATGATACTGTCTTCGATTTTTCATTATGTTGCCAGCCAGGCGCCACTGGAAACCCAATTTTCTTGCGTGCGGCAAAGGTAAATGTGCCATGTGTGCGTTTGTATTAGCGTGAGGACATCGCGGTCGCCGAGGACAAACAACTGCCACTAAATGGCATGTGGCAGACCCCGGCTGCTCCGGTTTCCTTTGATTTTATCGCTCGTCAAGCCCAAGTCGCGAGCATTGATTAAAGTTCGATGTGTCCTGTCCCCCATGACATGGAACGATTAAGGGAGGGTCTCGTGGTGGCCCATTGTCTTGCCCCACGACTTGCTATTGTGCCTTTTCGTTTAACTGTCTCAGTTCTTTGAACCAGTTGGCAGCAAGTGGCCGAAAGCCAGATGATGTCAACTGGTGGGTGGGGAAACAGGAAAAATGAGATTAAATGTATCTTAAGGAAGGGGATTGCTGGCACTCCTTATTATTAAAATACTACCGCTGCTGAAGTTTTAAGCGATTACAAGTGCATATCTAAGCTTTAATTAAAGTTGAATAGTATGTTTAATTCCACACCGTTCTCTTCCTGGCAGACTACGTTATCTCTATAAGATGTCCTTGGCTGTGTCGCTGCGCAGAGCTCTCTTGGTGCTGCTCTCTGGCGCCATATTCATCCTGACGGTGCTCTACTGGAACCAAGGAGCCACAAAGGCCCAGGCTTACAACGAGGCGCTGGAACGCCCCCGCAGCCACCGCGATGCCAATGCCTTTCCCATGTGAGTGCCACATGCCAATCAGCTTGAGCAATGATCCGACTAATCACTCTTCGTTTGCAGACCCGTCGAGAAGTCCTGGACGTACAAGTGTGAGAACGAGCGATGCATACGGCTGGGGCACCATGGCAAATCCGCAAAGCGAGTCTCGTTCATCAGCTGCTCGATGACGTGCGGTGACATCAACATTTGGCCGCATCCCACCCACAAATTTGTGCTCAGCTCGCACACGCACAGCTTCTCTGTAGAGGATGTGCAGCTGCAGGTGGACACGTCACATCGAGAGGTGCGCAAACAGCTGCAGCTGGCCTTCGATTGGTTCCTTAAGGATTTGCGGCAAATCCAACGGTTAATCTACGTCGGTAGTTCATCGGAGCCGACCGTCAGCGAATCTTCATCGAAGGCTCACCGTCATGCGGATATGGAACCGGCAGCCACGCTCTTTGGAGCCACCTTCGGTGTGAAGCAGGCTGGTGATCTGACCAGCGTGCAGGTCAAGATTATCGTGCACAAGTCCGCTGACCTCAACTTCAGTCTGGACAATGATGAGACCTATCAGGTTACCTCCATTAGTGAGTAATCTCAGAATTTGCACCCCTCAAAAACTAAAATTTAATTTTTTAAACCCTTGAGCAGCCGATGGACACCGCTTGCAAGTCGAGATCACTGCGAATTCCTACTTCGGAGCGCGCCATGGTCTGTCCACGCTGCAGCAGATGATCTGGTTCGACGATGAGGATCACCTGCTGCACACGTACGCCAACAGCAAGGTGAGGGACGCACCCAAGTTCAGATATCGCGGCCTGATGCTGGACACCTCGCGGCACTTCTTCTCGGTGGAGTCCATCAAGCGGACGATAGTGGGGATGGGGCTGGCCAAGCTAAACCGATTCCACTGGCATCTCACGGATGCCCAGAGTTTCCCCTACGTTTCGCGGTACTATCCGGAGCTGGCCGAGCATGGAGCTTACTCGGAGAGCGAGACGTACACGGAGCAGGATGTGCGCGAGGTGGCCGAGTTCGCCAAGATCTATGGCGTCCAGGTCATAACCGAGATCGATGCTCCCGCCCATGTGGGCAACGGCTGGGATTGGGGGCCGAAGCGCGGAATGGGCGAGCTGGCCATGTGCATCAACCAGCAGCCATGGAGCTTCTACTGCGGCGAACCGCCTTGTGGCCAGCTGAATCCGAAGAACAACCACACCTACCTCATTCTGCAGCGCCTCTACGAGGAGCTGCTCCAACACACGGGGCCCACGGACTTCTTCCACCTGGGCGGCGACGAGGTGAATCTCGACTGCTGGGCGCAGTACTTCAACGATACGGATCTGCGTGGCTTGTGGTGCGATTTTATGCTGCAGGCGATGGCCAGGTGAGCAGCAGATCCCAATACCTACGCTCATACAGACAAATAAGGTTAATTTTTATCCCGCAGACTAAAGCTGGCCAACAACGGGGTGCCGCCCAAGTACGTCGCCGTCTGGTCGAGCGCCCTGACCAACACCAAGTGTCTTCCAAATAGTCAATTCACCGTGCAGGTTTGGGGCGGTAGCACCTGGCAGGAGAACTACGACCTGCTGGACAACGGCTACAACGTGATCTTTTCCCACGTGGACGCCTGGTATCTGGACTGCGGCTTCGGCAGTTGGCGGGCCACTGGAGATGCGGCCTGCGCTCCGTACCGCACTTGGCAGAATGTCTACAAACACCGGCCGTGGGAGCGGATGCGCTTGGACAAGAAGCGCAGGAAGCAGGTGAGCTTTGCTAAATTTGGTTTAAATGGGCGGCTGCCTGTGGCCTCTTGAAAGTTTTTCTTAACAATTCTTTTCGTTATTAGGTGCTGGGTGGTGAGGTGTGCATGTGGACCGAACAGGTGGACGAAAATCAGCTGGACAATCGGCTCTGGCCGCGTTCCGCAGCTCTGGCCGAGCGGCTATGGACCGATCCTAGCGATGATCACGATATGGATATAGTGCCGCCAGATGTGTTCCGCAGAATCTCATTGTTCCGAAATCGTCTCGTCGAACTAGGCATCCGGGCTGAAGCTCTGTTTCCAAAATACTGTGCCCAGAATCCGGGAGAATGCATTTGATATGACCTTTAAGAAGTAAAAGTAACCTCCTATAATCCCAATCCCGTAACCCCTCCCGAAATGTGCGTTAGTTAGTTGATAGTCTAATTGTTATTTTATACGGATACCTAGGCTTCGTTTTGCAAGGAAGCAGACGACTGTTTAAAATGGTTTCTGGCATAAACCATAACTCGAATTTCGTTTTCATAGAACAAACATAAACACACCCATTACTAGTACAATCCATCTCGAATTATAGCGCACATAGGCATTGCATTGGAACGCAGAATGGTGGGATGTGGAAAGAAATGACCTAGTAGGGAATCAAGTTGAGGTTGACATGCAGGTGACGTTGAACATTAGAGTTCATAGACTTAGTTGTAGATTTCATACGCATCAATTCACATACACAGACATAGGCCTACGATATATATAAATATTAATACCTAGCTTTAGATAACAAATCACGATTGAGAAATTACAAACTTTTTGATAATTTTGAAAGCTTTATTCGCAGAATGTTATTAAGTTTAAGGTGACATTAAATGATATTTTCCTCTTCTTTAACTTTTATTTTCGTTTAGTTTCCTGTTAATTTCGCGTTGCCTTAAGTTAAAATAAAATTACATTTATTACATTTTCAGTGATATAAACAATGTGACCTTAAGAATCAGAAAGAAAAACAGAAACTGCTTAAAGAGTAAAACTTAGAATTAATATTAACAATTAATCGTTACGAACAATTTTTGCACGCATTGGCACACTCGACTAGTAAATTAGTAGCTAATTTAGAATGTACACTAAAAGGGGAAAATATTTGGGGTATTCACAGTTTTGTTTGGTTTAATATTTGGAATGATTGATAAGATCCCTATGTTAGCAACTTGCTTTCGTACTTAAGATTTTGCAACAAAATATCAGAAAACGTAAAACCTGAATCCTGAACCTAAATTAGTTTAACCTTTTCTGCTATAACTCCAAGTCACTCTCGAAAATAAACTACAAGTCCAGTCTAAACAGGTTCAAGATCTCTTTTGGGGTGGCCATAGCTTTTATATATCTTAATACAGGAACTCAAAATTTAAATACATGAGGAGGTACGAGGTACTTAAGATGCTATTACACCTTTAAGTGGTGAGTTTGGAGCACTCCGGTTGACTTTGTGCCACTTTGCTTTGTAAACTTCTATGAAGATGAAATAAAGATGTAATGAAGATCGAAAAGTCTTTAGCAGCAAGCGCTTTCATTCTATCTGGAGATAAATTTGCTCTAAGACACAGAGTGCATTATTTCGAGGCAGTTAAAAAGCAGCTGAAGCGCAACAAAGTGGACTAAAAAATTGCCCTTCACAAAAGAAAAATACCTAGACAAAATCTGTAATATCGATGCTGTGGTAGCGTTGAAGAGATCCCAATCGCGTGTGCGGCGAAGGACGGAGGCAGATCACACATTCCTCCGTGCTGAAAATCAATTGCAATTAATAACAAGCGTAAATAAGTAAAGAATCTGCTGTTGGTTTATAAAAAATATAATACTTTAATCCGAGCGCCTATGTTGTAAACTATCATGCAATACTTAAGGACAAAACAATATGCTCTACATGTGTGTGGGAAATCTCTGTGTCGTATACATATTTGTGTGTGCTGTTCATTCATAGTGTCCGGTGGGTACGGGACTTGTTGAAGTCAGTCTACAAGAAACGATAAACAGAAAAAGAGGAAAACCCAAATCAGAAATATACGGAAATAAAAAAGTAAGTACAATATCGAAGACAATCATGCTGAGTACATTTACAAATCAGGTTTAAAATAGGAAGGTGCTAAAGGTCATTTGTATTAGTATTTTAAGCGAAACGAGTGCAATTTAGTTTTGGAGCTTTTGGTTGGAGGAGGCGTTTTATAAGAGAAAGAAAGCATATACATGAGCATTGCGTATACGCACCGTAGACTTTCGGTTCGCGATCTCAGCGAGTAGTCTTTTGAGGCGCGATGCCTGAAATGGAAATTAATTGGTTAAATGACAACAACGACGACAACAGCGAACAACTAAACTAGCAGCCATAGCCACATGAATTAGATAGTGCAAAGTGTAAAGCCAATATGTCAAGAGCCGGGGATATATATTGTCCAACAACAACAATGCGTTACAATGCCAAATGAGTGCAGTCGCCATCAATGATTGGTTAGCCCACCTGCGATTCTTGATGGAGCTGTTCCGGTGGATATTCCTGCTCTCGCGCCATCGGTTGAAGCGATGCCTCAGCGTCTGGCGCACCTCTGAGTTTAGGAAACAGTAGAACAGCGCCACAAAGAAGCCCTGAAAGAGCATGGTTATTAATGGTTACCGGCATGAAGAATGAGTCGAATCCAGCTTACCTGCGTGCTGAGGAGGAAGGCCCTTATGGCATCGAAGAGATTGCGACTGATGCCGTGTTCCGGGCCAGTTAGCACCACCAGATAGGTGATCCCAAAGAGAGGGATCAGCACCAGCAGCGCCTTCGAGGCTTTATAATACTGTCGCGTTTCCAGCGTATGAGCAGATCGCAATTTAGTGATGAGTACCTACGTCACAAATATCATATAGTCAATTTTCTCAGGCTAAAAATAAAATGTATACTCACCCACATGATGCGTATGAGAAATACTAAATTAACAAGCAGAGCCAGTGAGGCGGGTCCCTTAGTAATCCAGTCAATGTGAGACTCACGCATCCAGGCGCAGTCAATTTCCAGCTTAAAAAGATCATGAATAAGTTAAACAATACCCCCTGGGCCAAATTATAAGACCTACCCCATTAAAATGCTCATTCTCGAGGTGTGGGGCAAATGCCTTGGCAATGGACCACACTAAAATGCATATAGCTGGGCAGCCCCAGCCTATCAGGGCGTAGGTAATAAAGCTAATGTTATCACTGGAGAACGTTTGCACCACCAACGTGTACAGATAGAGGCCTATATAAAAAGCGAATGATAAAACAATCAGTTCAATTGATACCGCCTTTGAACTTACCCTCCACAAACATCCAGAAAAAGTTTGTTAGGTAGAAGTATTGGTACATGATGACCAGCGTTATGCAGCCAGCCTGACTAGACTCTGTTGTTATCTAAGCGGATATTATATTTGTTATTTGAATAGGAAGTATATATTGAGACTTATACATACCACTTGCAGAAACAAGGTGAGAATCCAAAGGAGGGCTGAGGTGGAATAGGCTACGAATAGATTCGCATGAATGGTGTTTCGCAGACAACGCAGATCTCTGAAAATTTCCCAACTTGGAATTTATGAAATTGATATTTGGGAGCGGGACTCACTTAAAGCTGAGGAATATGATAAGAGCCACCACCAAGGTGGCAAAGCTTAGGAAATAACCACAGGCATATATTATAGTCGGCAGTTCGACATTGGGTGAGAAATCCGGCACTACGGGTATGGAACCTGAGTTCTGATGACAACGATCATAGTCCGAATAGCGATCCCAGGTTCCGTTCGCAAAACAAAAGCGAGTGGCGTTTTCTGGGGAAACAAAAAAACATTATTTTAAGTTGACAATCGAACCTTAAACACCCACCTGTGGTGTCGTAGTGCACACCCTTGAATTCTTCGAAACAGGGTAAAACAGCCAGGCTGCCGGCATTTGTGCGGGGCCAACACAGAACCGAATCGAACGAACTGGGACATTGTAAAATCTGTAAAAACAACAGTCGATTTCAGACTATGAATACACAAAGATTGGCAAAGAAAACATAGTTTAGGAAATCTAGGGTAAACATTTACAACCATTTAGTGCTGATGCCGCACAGTAATTAAGTTTCCCTTCTTGGCTGCGCTCTATAAACGAGCCTGACCTAGCCCAAAACCATTAAATCAGAGTACAAGAGATTTATGGGCGAAAACTGACACAATATCTTGATGCCTACATCTCTGTGCTGTACTTTTATAGGTCTGACGCATGACATATGAATGTATAGTAGATTTTCCTTTAATCAATTGAGTTTCCAAATTTTATACACATACGCAGCGTGGGCCATCCAACAGTCTATACCCAAAATAAAAAGAATCACCCGAGGGGTTGCTACCGCTTTATTTATATATTTGCAATGGCGTGCTAAACAATTTTATACAGACGGATATACAAAGTATATATTAATGTTAAGTATACGACCGTGCGATTGTTTACCCAGTCTAGTTCGTACCGCCAAATTATCGCGGAAGGTGAAGGCAGCGGTGCTAGAAACAGAGCTTCCATTGATATTTTTATTGGCCTTATCAGGTGACGCCGAAAACCCAAGACTCGTCGATGAATTTTTGTTTCAAAATTGTCAATTCATTTATGGCTTTCACTGATAAGCTTAAGCTTTTATGACATCTAATGCGATCGGACTTAGCCACGCGACAAAATGAGCTGTCAACGAATAAGCCAAACACGACTGGGAACTCCGCCAATATTTGTCTTTGCACTTTTTATTCTCACTCATTAGGCTCTTCATTTGGCCACAATCATGAGGCATTCGCTATGACAGTTCCAAGGAATAACGCCCTTGAGTTTCGGTGCCTCCGACTTTGATCGTGCATTCGGGATAAACAAAAACGCCCAAATGCAGCCTCAAGTGGGTTTCCTTGGGTCTCATTTTGTTTACAGCCAAGAGGAATACATAAATAAATTTCTTGTTAATTTTCCGGAAATAAAATGCAGCCTAAATATTTTCAAAAAAATTAATCTGAAAGCTATCAGCAATTCAGTCGCCTTCGTTTCCATGTTGAACTCACAGTGGAAGAGATTGACAGGCGAATGAATGGAAGGCAATTAGTTTAAGCAACGAGATGGATCAATTAGCGAGTGCGATTAATTGGGATAAATGTTCATTTTCCAAACAATGGCTAATTAAAGAATATTTATAGATTTCCTAGTTTCTTATTTTGATTGCTATAAAAAAGGTTTATTATTCAATTGAATAAGATGAAATGGTGCAAACATAAAACTTTGTGCCAAAGTAAGTACGACCGCTATTTCTCGCTCTTACTTTGGTTTTTAATCTCACAGCTTGTAAAATAAATAAATAAAACCTTAGAAAATTTTTAAAGCAGCATAATAAGAAAATTATAATATTATGTGAGAATACATTTGCTTCTAGAAATACATCGATATTTATATCTATCTTGGAGGCTTCTCAATAAGATTTCTATACTTATAATGCATAAAAAAAGGAATATTATTTAATGAATTAAAATGCTTTGTTGTGGTGTATAAAAGTTCTCATTTAGAGGCGCCACATATTTTTTAATAAGTGTTTATTATTACTAAATGGCTATAGCATCGTTAAAATATTATTACACAATTTTAAATGCATTCTGAAATGGATTAATATAGTCAGCCAGCTTGAACAACTTTTATATCTACTACGGTTTAGTGGGGCGTTAAATTACTGAGTTGGTGGATTCACATACGTGTCAATTGCCACTTAATGCTACACATTGGTAAAATGAGTGGAGTGCTTATGCCTCTTTAGACACTCGGCCCCACCCATCCCCAATCCGCAGGACTCACCCGCTCGCCACCAGCTGTCAGTGCCTCCAGGTCCCCCTGTTCCTGACACTGCTGCGTGCGATTGTGGAGCAGCGCCCCACTGTGCGGCTGCTGGGCGCCAATTAGGGCGCTGGCCCGCTGCAGCATGTCCAGCGAGAAGTTGGCGATGACCTTGGCCAGGTCCTCCTGCGAGGCGTCATCCAGGCTGTCGACCAGAGCCCGCAAGTCGTCGTCGGCCATGTGATGAAACCAAGGGCCGGGATGCCGAACTTTGATGGCTCCTCGATGAGAGATGAGCGATGAGCGATGGTGCAATATGGAAGACAGCAGGAACCTGTCAGCGAGGCGTCTCCGCTCCTGAACTCTGGCACTCCGCGGGCACTTTCTCTCTCCGCAGTGCGATGCGCAATTAAACGAATCTGCTCAAATAAACCGGGTGTGGGTGCAAAAAAGAAAGAAACATTCGTTATCAGTTAAGGTAAAGAGTCTTCGCCACCGAAAAAAATCAGATACCGAACCAAAGGAACCCTGATCCCACAACCCAAAAGCAGCCTCCGTTTACTTAAATAGACATATAGATATGCTATATATTATAAAACACTTTATTTGCCGCTGGTTAAATATTGTGGTTGCCGTGACTCAAAAAAGTATAGAGAAGGCCAAAGCACAAGGGTCCATATTGTGTTGATTGAGGAGAATAAATAAAGCATCCTAAACATCTACTTGCTCACTAGTGGGTAATTTTCGGAAAAATACTCTATTTCTTCGAGGGTGAGTTGTTTTCGACTTTTTCGGTAAAGTATACAAATTATAAAAAATCTGTTCAAATAGTACATGAGAAAATCACGTGCCTGCGTCTGCTTTATGGGGAGTGGTTCAGATTAAATGTAGATAACTACAGCACAATCTTTATGGACAGCGGAGTGGGTTTTTGATGGGTAACCGAAAGGGCAGGAGCGAGGTGAAATACTTTTCCGCGGTAAACACTCCGTAATTGAATAGCTTATATGGCGCACGGAACTAAAATCGTTCCAGACCGTATGTCATTATATTTTGGCCGCACACCCCGATTAATTACAGGGTCGCCCAGCCATTAGATCCCAATTAGCTGCAATAATTCTAGCCGCTCGATAATGCTTTCTGTAAGCGCTGTCGTAATGGAGATTGCAAAGTGGAGATAAACTTTCCGATTTACACAGGTGAAAACGGGTTCTGAATTCTACTGAAATGTGTACTTTAATTTAAAGATCTGGCCATTTAATCTTTGGCAGTTATTAGTTTTAAAGGACATGGGGTTCCATTGCTTTGAGGAACATATAAAAACTTCAGTCACGCATAATCATTACATTCAGCAATTAAGCAGCAAAGTAATTAAACTAGTCCGGCGGCCGTAACTTTATCTGTTAATTGTGGCAGGGGAGTCTGTGACAGATGTGTAAGCCAGGTGCATGTGCGTTGTGCGTTTCCACCTGGCAACGTGCTGTGTACCTGCTGAAGGGGCGGGCACCCTCCCCTCGCTGTGATTAAAACAAAGAGTGTCAAGTTATTTATTAATGAACAAATACCATGGCAGCGAGCTGCTCCCGGGTCGCCGACTCATCACATCTCATCTCGGCACGACTCACGCACAAAGCTTTAACCGCCTTAACTGCTGGAACCGGTTGAGGTGATGGGCAGGAGCTTAGTCAATGTCAACTTGGGTATGAGATAACAGCGGCTTTCTGGCCCTGCATATGCTGGCCATATCTGCGAGTGTCAGGGTTCGGGGTTCTGTTGAGTGGGCCATCTTGGCCATGTCCCACCAGCTAATTACGCTCTATAAATAGCCCCAACCACTTTGATCTCTGGCACGGGGTAGGAAATACCAGATGCACCTGCAGCACGTTGCCAGCTAAAGAATCCGGCTGAGAAATTCAACGTGGGCGGTTCTCTTGTACCTTCTATTCTTATTCGCTCACGCTGGAAATTTGTTCTTTTGTTCTGTACTTAAAATGTATTTTAAGTACCTCCCATTATCGGAGGTGGATTAATATTTGTATTGGAACCATGATTTGAACATGAAATGTTATCTTCTCTGCGTAGGGAATCAATTAAAATGAAAACAGATCCTGGGAATGGCCTCCCACTCCTTCTCCACCTCCCCAACAATCCCTAATCTCATCTGCCCCGCTCCCTTTTCCGTGTGCAAATATTTGCCTTCAATCCTGAAATGGCCAAACATCTGGCATAGAAGTCGTCATGCCACAATCTTAAGCTCTCCATCCAAAAAGAAGCAGCGATTTATTTATGAGCTTGGCAAACAAGCGCATTATTTGGACGAGCGCGTGCTTGTGGTTATCGCCATGATGATGAACATGATCATGGCAAGAATCAGCATCCGTGTCATTTGGAGCCAATGGAGGGGCGACTAATCTGGCCTTAAATGCGCCACAATTAGACGCCCAGCAGTCAAATAAACATTTCAACTGTTTGACCAATGTAAATAATAATAGTGCCCAGTCAGTTTTTGCCAAATCGTGGGCAAGTCGTGTTTGCCGCTGGTGCAACAGGGCGTATGCCTAATATTCGCTGGCCACTGCACACTGCTCTCCAATTCGCTTTTCTACTGCTGCTCTGATGATTTATGGAGTGTCAAAACAAATGAAAATTAATTGGCAATCGGCATGTGGGCAATGGGAAGGCTAACGAAGACGGACATGCAATCCGAAACATGCGCGATAGGCCATCAAAGTCGTCCGATTAATATAGAAGCCATTGTACTGGAACTGCAGCAATATCATAATCCTCAAGAACTTCCTCATATTTTTAAGTATTATTTAAGAGGCAAAAATTACCTTCTGTTTTAAATAATACAAAACTAATTGAAGACTAAATGAACTATATTTTTAATAAATTACATCCCAAAATAATATTATACATATTAATATTATTATGCACAAATTTCGATCAGTGCAAAGTTTTATTATCTTTATATCAATCACCAATGCCAAATGACAGTTGGCCTGCGTGATAAAAACCACGTAAATTAAATGTACTGAAAAGTACGAACAGTAATAAAAATTATGGGCCAGCAGGAAGGCAGAAGCTTTATGAATGAACGAGCCCGCCCAGCGAAGCGTGTAGAAGTCAGAAGTCAGCGGCGGCGTCAGCTGGCGGACAAATCAAACCGAATCGAATCGAATCGCATGGCATCGCATCGCATCGCTTCGAATCGAGGCGAATTAAATCGAACTAAATGGAATGGCAGGCGCAGTCAGGCGCTATCATATCGATATTTATGGTTTTGGCCGGCTGAAAGCAAATAAATAGAAAGATTCCGAGCATCGTCATCCGCCGTCATCCTTATCCTCTTGACCATCGCCCCGTGAAACAAGGCAGTCTAAGGCCAAGCAAAACACACAGACACCCACACACGGACTCGGGGAAAGTTTACAAATTAAAAGTAAATTGAAACGAAACCAAACACAACCAACAAAAGAGAGAGATCTGGGGCACAGGGCGTATGAGCAACGGGGACCAATATCCAGCATACGCCGCGTTGCCAGACGACTTCATTTCATATGCTTACTAATTTTATTGGCTTACAACGGCATAACAAATTCTCAAGATGCTTTGAACTCGCAGAACGGTTTAGATTTGCAAGGGGGTCGTAAAGTTGTTTTATGCCCTACCCAAACAGAAAGTTGAATAAAGTAAAAATAAAACAAAAATATTTCCCTTTTCATTCGCAATTTTCATACAAGTTTGGCAGCGGTGCTGCGGGCATTTTTTTGCCTGTTGCATGGCAGGTGAAGTGAAGTGGGTGGTCCTAGGTTCAGGAGTCATGGAGATACACATACATTCTCGTGCATTAAAATGCCACCCACTCACGGACGCGCCCAGATACATAAACATGATGTAATTTTAAAATTTCATGAGTTCATGTAAAGTTTATTTTATCTGTTTTATGGCAGCAACGCCAGGGGCACTGGATGCAGAAGGGGTAGATAGGAAAAGATAAAGATACAGGTAGTCAGGCAACCAGCATCATGGAGCGCAAACTACGACCAGCTGCTATAGGAGCAATCAATACGTATTAGAAAATTCAATTAGCTAACTGCAAGAGGGAGAAAATCGCTGTGCAAACAGTGGATTCAAAGAGGGAAACATAGAAAAAAATACCTGAATAATCGTCATCAATTTGCACATCGAAATAGCACTACATCCATTTTCTGAAATGAAAATGTTATTTCTGAATATAGGCTTTTTCTATTAACTGATCCTAAAATGATATGTGATTAATTAAATTTGATTTTGCTTCTGTTTAGACATTTTTGGGAGTTGTATAAGGAGGGGAACATGAATTTAAAGGGCAATGGAACAATGTCAGTCACTTGCAAACACACAATGTGCATTTAGAGTTAGTGGATCGAACAAAAGCCTCTTGAAATTGGTGCACTTACATTCGAAAGCCATTTGCTAATTTTAGCCCACCCCCCAAAAGTTTTCCCGCACTCTGGCTTCGCCATCTTACAATCGAGTATAATTAAATTTTCGTATTTACTTAACAATTCATACTCGAGAGTCGCAAACAACTTGCGCCCTGCTGAGTCCCGAACGCACTCTGTTTTTTATACCCTGTTTACCTTTTGGGAAACGTAGCGAGGGCGGCCTAATGAATCGGGGAGGGCGTGTGGAGCTGGCGAATATAAAGGGTGAATATTACAAATGTTTATCTTTGCTCAATGGCAACAACACCGTGTGGGCGTGGGCGTGGTGCAGACTGAAATATGCATGAGAGAAGAATTTTGCAATGCAGTTCAGAGAGCAAGAGGATGCCCATCCTGCCGGATAAGAATTAATTAAAAAATCCCACTGCAGGATGCAGGAAACAGAGAATAGGAGGAGAATGGTGGGTATGTAGAGGCGGGACATGATGTCCCCAAGCACCTCGAGGCTCTCTTTATCCGGGAAAACGATTCGTAAACATGCAAATGGAGCACAAACATTTGCATATATGAGATAAAACCAAGGAAAGGCGGAACAAGCAAAAAAAAGCAATCCTATACAGAGAAAACAACCATTTATAGTTAGCTTTTAATTAACCTACGTTAAACGGTTCTGATCCTAGCTGGAATTCCAACGATTAAAATATAGTTTTCACTAAAAAACAACATTTTAATTATAACAAAAAGAAATGTTTTATGGTTTTAGCGGTTTTGAGTTAAATGTTTAAACTTTGAAATTATTTGCCCAATCATTTATTTAAATAAAGTATTAAGAACATATCTTTGGAGTAAGCTGATTAAATAAACTTTCATAGGAAGCTAAGGCAGACCTTATGTCAAAATTGCAAGAAATTTTCCAAAAACAAAATATTTGCCAAATAAACTAAAATTGTTGGATATGTAAACTCTATTTTTTTGTGCGTAGTCAACATATATATATATATTATTCCCTGTGCACGTGCCCCTCCCCCTTTCACCTCACTAATTTGTTTTCGCCTTTTGTGAAGCTGGCAGCGGATAATCCGACGGCCATTGAGTCTAATCAGACGTTTATTCTTCAATTTAAAGTCTATTTGCGGACTTCTCCATTGTTTGCTAATGGGAGCAAGCTGCTAAGTGATCATCGCCACTTGGTTTTGATTTGGCTATGGATGTGGTGGTGGATTTGGAACCAGTGCGCCACCCGTGGCGCTCTGCGGAATGTTTTTATGGCCCGGCAGTGCGGTATTTGCCCAATTCGTTATGCACCGGCCGAGGAATGGATCTTTTGGGATGTTTGGGATCGTTTTGGGGGTCAGGGTCCCACGCTTTTTTTTTTTTTGCACCTCTTTTCTTCTTCAGAGCTTTAAACGTTTATCGCCTTTTTATCATTATCATTTATTTGTTTGCATTACTTAACACGCACGCACGATCGGAATGACACATTATAGAAACTTGGAAACACTTTTAATTTTAGATGACCCCGAATACTTCCCGAAAACACCAAACGATTCGAAAATATAACAAGAAAACAGCGAAATTAAGTCGAGTTACGGAATTAAGCCTGCGGCGCTTGTGTTCTTTGGATGCTGCGCTCTGTGCGAGACGGGGAGATGGCGAGATAATCGGGGAGCATCAGCCGGGCCGAGATTACGGGTAGTCCAAAGGGACACGGCGACGACGGCACACGCGTCCAGAGGCGGCCAAAGACAGCGCCAAACTGCGGCCAACGGGGCGTATGAAAATGCGAGCTTTGAGGAAAAGCACACCCACACAGCTAGAAAGCCGCCCACACCGACACTACAACAACGCAGGATACAACACCACACCAGTTGAAGCCCACTACCGCAACAAGTTGAAAAGCTCTGCGCTCGCAGAGAACAAAACAGGCGAGAGAGCAGAAAGCAGAAATCAAAAAGCTCCCGATGAGACCGGCGTTTTCTGCGGTATTTGCATTCAATTGGCGATTGCAACGATTCTGTTTCTGATTGCGATGGCCTGTCAGCTGCAATTGACACTCAAGCTGAATGGGCCGCCAAATGGGGTTTATCCACTTTTAACGAGAATAAGACATTTAACACCCTGCGGCTTAGCAAATACTCAAAGGGTTTTCGACTTGCCATTTACCTGGTTATCTGATTATAGCCACTACATCACATTTTATTTCGGTTTTTTTGATCAAAACCCTGGGAAATATGGCCACTTGTTGGAATGAAATACTTCGTTGAATTCGTTATAAAATTTCCAATCGGTTGGCATTCACAGCTAAAAAATTTCAAATCAGTCGATTTTTGGCAAACATGGATGATGTAACCCCTTATAAAAATGCCAAAATCCGGAGATCCGAAAAAAAACACTTTTATTTCTGTTTTTTGATCAAAATCCTGTGAAATAGTGGTCAAAAGTTGGAATGTCCTACCTCGTTGAATTCGTTACAAAATTTACAATCGAGTGGCATTCAAGCTAAAAAATTTCAAATCAGTCGATTTTTGGCAAATATGGATGATGTAACCCCTTATCAAAAATGCCAAAATCCGGAGATCCGGAAAAACCCACTTTTATTTCGGTTTTTTGATCAAAACCCTGGGAAATAATTGTCACATGTTGGAATGCCATACCTCACTGAATTCGTTATAAAATTTCAAATCGGGTAGCATTCACAGCTAAAAAATTTCAAATCAGTCGATTTTTGGCAAATATGGATGATGTAACCCCTTATAAAAAATACCAAAATCCGGAGATCCGGAAAAACCCACTTTATTTTCGGTTTTTCGATTAAAACCCTGGGAAATAATTGTCAGATGATGGAATGCCATACCTCGTTGAATTCGTTATAAAATTTCCAATCGGGTGGCATTCACAGCTAAAAAATTTCAAATCAGTCGATTTTTGGCAAATATGGATGATGTAACCCCTTATCAAAAATGCAAAAATCCGGAGATCCGGAAAAACCCACTTTTATTTCGGTTTTTTGATCAAAACCCTGGGAAATAATTATCAGATCTTGGAATGCCATACCTCACTGAATTCGTTATAAAATTTCCAATCGAGTGGCACCCTAAAACACAATCCCATTGAAAAACGAATTTTTGTTATGATATAAGATTATTTTTTATTTAAAACAATGTTTATTATAAATAAATAAAGATTGTACTTTTAAGATAAAATACATGCTATGTGCTTATATTTAGAAAGATCTTACCTTAATCTTATGCTAACTTATAATAATCATTTTATGTACGAAAAACTAAATTCATTTATTATTGATGTTTCAGGTATAAGGTAATGACAGTATTATTATTAATAGCTAACTTATGAGTTCTTGTAGGTAAGCGGCTAATATATATCTTTGTTGAAGAGCTGGAGGGCTAGAGCACGGCGACTGGTAAATCACGGATATCCTTGAAGACGACACTGAAGCTATGCCCAAATATCCATGGACACTTCCTTGACAATGCTGATCCTGATCTCCTTTCTGCGTTCCTTTATTTAATTAAGACATTTCGATTCATAAAATATATGTTTAAAAAATAAACAAATTTATACATACTATTTATGCAAAACTTTTACTGTGGGTTGGGACTTGTTAATTTAATAACTTTAATTTTGTGTTTATATTTCAACTTTTATTTCTGTTTTCTGATCAAAGCCCTGGGAAATAAGTGGCAAATGTTGGAATGCCATACCTCATTGAATTCGTTATAAAATTTCCTATCGAGTGGCATTCACAGCTAAAAATTTCAAAATAAATATGGATGATGTAACCCCTTATCAAAAATGCCAAAATCCGGAGATCCGGAAAAACCCACTTTTATTTCGGTTTTTTGATCAAAACCCTGGGAAATAATTGTCAGATGATGGAATGCCATACCTCGTTGAATTCGTTATAAAATTTCCAATCGGGTGGCATTCACAGCTAAAAAATTTCAAATCAGTCGATTTTTGGCAAATATGGATGATGTAACCCCTTATCAAAAATGCCAAAATTCGGGGATCCGGAAAAACCCACTTCTATTTCGGTTTTTTGATTAAAACCCTGGGAAATTAATTGTCAGATGTTGGAATGCCATACCTCACTGAATTCGTTATAAAATTTTCAATCGGGTGGCATTCACAGCTAAAAAATTTCGAATCAGTCGATTTTATCATAAATGCAAAAATCCAAATATCCGGAAAAACCCACTTCTATTTCGGTTTTTTGATTAAAACCCTGGGAAATTAATTGTCAGATGTTGGAATGCCATACCTCACTGAATTCGTTATAAAATTTCCAATCGAGTGGCACCGAAATCCCCTGTCTTTTTTAAGCATTTTGCGATTAGATTAATAGTTTTCATTATACAATTTTATTTATTTTTTTTTTTTAGCGTGCTTTTAAACATTTGATAGAAAAGAGATATTCTAAATTTGATCAACATTTACCCCACGCGTCATTTTATTCAAAAGGCGCGGTCTCCTCCCGTGGACGCCACATTTCACAGACGGGCGAGTGACTTGAGCACTTGAAGTCGTATGCAAATTGACGCAAATTGCCAACGCTCACGTTGACACGCTCGTCATCCCGATCGTGGGCGATCACCGGTGGCAGGGAGCCGCAGAAGAACTGGGCATAGTTCAGGAGGAACAGTTGTGGCGCCTTAAACTCCTGCTCGAATGCATAAGGGCGGTAGCCCCATTTCCTGGAGTCATGGGCCAATCCAAAGAAGGAGTCGTAGGCCAGCTGGAGACCGTTTAGATCCGCCAGGCGTTCTTTCAACGAAACGGCAGGTGTTCCCTCTGCACACTTGATGGCATCTTGGAAGGCTTGCGACTCCCGAATCCCGAGGCCCACAGGTGACTCATTTCCGGAGTAGTCAAAAAGTATACCCTCCTGCTCGAAGGCGTGGTTCATCTCGTGAGCCAGGACGGCTCCCAAAAGACTATGTTGGAAAATGGCATGCTGTCGGTGATCGAACAATGGCCACTGAAGAAATTCCATGGGCACTGTAATGGTGTTCCTTTCGTTTTCATAGAAAGGAGAAGTTCGGGCCTTGATCACATTGTCGTTGACGTAGTAGCGGTGTAGGTCCAGTCTAGATCCCGGTTGTAGTAGACCGGTATGCTGGAGACGGGTTCGTAGCCCCAAAACCTCTATAAGATTGCCCAGGAAACTTGTCTCGGTGAACACAGCACTCTCGTATTGTTTGTCAAAGAACTCTGGCGATTTCTCCTCCGGTAGGTTGCCCACCTTCACCTGAATACCTGCCAATTTAGCCCTCACATAGGCCATCTGGTTTGGCGTGAACTGCAGGCGGTTGGCATCCAAGTATTTGCCGAAAGTTGCCTTCAAACTGTCCAGGATCTCTCGAAGTCGATGGGAATCCTGCTCCCGATTTTGGTACACAAATCGGTCGTATAAATAATTCACACCCAGGGGTAGAAAAGCTCGCATGTGGTGAATACAGGTCTTTGGATTCCGGACTCTAGGTTCGGACTCCTGGATTAAAACCAAGTGGCGCACTCGAAGATACATGTGTTTGGCGCCGCGGTCGAAATCCATCACAAATTGAAAAGCTTCCTGGAGATATTCCACGTCACTAACTTCAAAAAGCAAATGATCTAAATCTTTGGAAGTGTGGTGCACTCCCAATAATTTACCAAATATTAAATGCCACTTAATAATAGGGATTTGCCGTCTAATCTCATTATACGTCCATGTATATACCACTGGATTAGCTTCTCGATATTTATCCTGCAGCTTCTGAATTTTATCCACCAATTGGAGCATTTTATTCTCGTACTCCCAGTCATGGAATCGCAGAAGCTCCAATACCCGGAGGTCACTAATTCTAGAACTCTGATCTGGCATTCTTATCTGCACAACGCGACGAGTGGAATCATTTGTAGCCACATCAACGCGCTCTTCAAAGAATACGCCATTCAAGCCGTGCTCGAGGAATCCTTCTTCATCCCGCAACCATCGCCATATAACTGGTTGAGGATCGCTAAGGTTCAGTTTTAGCGTATCGTCCGTACAGGCTTTGTAATATGATCGCATTTGCTTAATCAGTTGGGGTGTTTGGGTGTCGTTGTCTCCCACATGGCTCTCCATGAATTCCACCATGGCATTAGCAAACTTATCTTCGACCCACTCAAAGTTGTCGACATATTCCGAAGTTTTGGCAAAGCCGCCGCAGGCGAAATTCCAGAATTCTGTGCAGGGTGCGGATGTTCTATTAAGGTTCTTGTGAATCTGGTTTGACGTGGCCACGTTAATATCTATATCCGCCTGGATCAAAACAGAAGAGGTCATTAGAAAAACACACAGCAATTGTAAACTTCCCATGTTGCTCGCACAATTCTTACTAATCAATTAATGAAACAATCAACATATTATCGCAAAGCTCAAATGAGCTTGGACACCTATGATCCAGTGCCAGAGCTTGGGAACGGGAACTGATAAGTCGGTCAATAGAATTCAAAGCTTTTCTGAAAAGGCCAGATCTGCTATATACCAACAACAATTTGAAAAAACCCGCTTTGTGGCTACATTAATCCGAGCTTAGCGTTTATTGAATCCGATCGTTAATTACAACACTGTAGTGGTTCAAACTTCAATTACTAGCTAAGAAAGTTCGCAATATAAAACAGGTAATCGTTTCGGGAATACCTTAACTATATGTCAAAGTCTTAGTCTACTTAAACAAACTGGATCTAAGGTTTTTATTTCTTAAACTTTTGCTTCTTTCCCACATTCGGTCCCGTCTTGGATTTTTTCAGGTGGCCGATTTGCTTGGATTTCTGCTTCAGCTTGTTCTGTTTCTTAATAGGCTTGCCCTCCAGAATTGGTATATCGTCTACATCTATCCGCGGCGCTTTGTCTAATTTGGATGCTTTGGATTTGGGTGGCTGTTGCACTTTTCCTTGCGGTTTCGTCTTAGGATCCTTTGCTTTTGGCTTGGCAGGTGAATCACCGCCATTGGCTGTTGACTTTTTGTCCACGGGTTTGGTTGTTGAATCGCGATCGTTGGCGTTTGCTTGGTTCTTTTTCTTAAACGATTTTGCATCTGCCTTGGGGGCTGGTACATTGCCATTGACTTTGGTCTTTTTAGCCGCAGGTTTGGATGGTGACTCGGTTCCGTTGGTTTTTTCTACCGGCGTCTGCGATTTTTTCTCCTTCTTTTCCAGTGGCTGTTCAGGCTTTGGCTTTTTGGGCGCCTTGACGGGCTGCTCAAACACCTTGGCCACATACTTGGTCTTGCTCTCCTCCCGCTTCTTTTTCTTTAGCTCCTGCTCGATTTCTGTAAAACTGGGTTTTCCGGCTCGCTTGCCTAGCAGTTTTCGAGGACCCTTGTCCTTGGACTCCTCCTCTTCAACCTCCTTTGCAGCTTCTGGTGTGGTCTCTGCCTCGATGGCCTCGTCGAGCTGCTTCTCATCCTCCTCCTGCTGCTCCTTGGTTATGGGTATTGTGTTGGAGAACTTCTTCAGCTTGGCCACGTAAAATCCGTCCATGTTGTGTGTGTGCGGATAGTAGCGCTTGGTAAGGTTTAAGCTGGGATGGAACCGATGCTGCCGGAACTTGGTGAATCCCTCGACGCCAAAGTCCAGACCAGTGGGCACCAGCTTGACATTTCGCTTCTTCAACGCATAGTCGATGACCCACTCGTTCTCCTCGGGCAGCACTGAGCATGTGGAGTACACAATATAGCCCCCGCTCGAGGATTTTGCATCCGTACAATCGATGGCCGTGAGCAGAAGCTTTCTCTGCAAGTTGTAGCATCGCTGAACGTCCACATCCGACTTGGTGGTCTTCACACTGGGGTCCTTGGACACGACGCCGGTGCCAGTGCAAGGAGCATCCAGTAGGACACGATCAAAGCCAGTCATAATATTCCGGAACTTGGTGCCATCTTCACAGCTAACCACTGCATTTACAATTCCCAGTCGATGGAAATTCGCCACAATGGCCTTGATGCGATCTCGATTGGAATCGTTGGCAAACAGCACACCCGTGTTTTTCATGATGGATGCGATGTGGGATCCCTTGCCACCAGGGGCAGAGCACATATCCAGGATGCGTTCGTTCTCCTGCGGAGCAAGAGCCATGACAGGCAGCAGTGAAGAGGCTCCCTGGATCATGTAGTGACCGGCCAAATACTCTGGAGTGGCACCCAGCGGCACCTGCGAGTTGAAGACGACCAATCCCACCTTGGTCCACTTGCCCAGGGGATCCAAGTTGACGCCACGATTAATCAAAGCTCCGGCTAGGTCCCGACGACGTGTTTTTAGAGTATTGGTGCGAATGGTCAACGGACGAGCGATCTAAAACGTTGTTTTTATAGGTACATTATTAACAAATTGTTTAATAAAATTCGTTAATAAATTCACTCACCTCTGACGCCTCCAGATACTCCATGAGTTCGGTCAGCGGCAACATGTCCATCAGCTTCTCCATTAAGAACTCGTTGTAGCTGTAGTACAGGCACAGATCTTTGCGCAGCAAATCGATGTACTCCCCGCGAGATCGATCCGCTTGGCGGTACTTCTTGAAGTCAGAAAGGACCAGGCTGACGTCCTTTATCCGCTGCTGCACCTCCTGCAGGGTAAGGTCCTTCTCGGCCTCTTCCGCTTCGTTGGGCAGCTGGAAAACATCCTGCCGGTCGACGGTTTCAAGCATTTCGTCGTCCGCCAGTTGAGCTTCCTTTGCCTCGCGTTTTTTGAGTTTTTTGTTTGCGCGCTCGATGGGCAGCTTGTCATCATCATCATCGTCGTCCTCATCTTCATCGCTGTCGCTTGCTGCATCGGTACCATCTTCGTCGCCCGATACATCAAAGTCATCATCAGAATTGGCTTCTTCATCATCGGAGAGATCGGCCAGCTTCCCAATTTGAGCGGTGTCATTATCTGAGTCGTCTTCCTCCTCATCGTCCTCTTCTTCTTCGCCGGACTCCTCTGCTTCCAGACCATCCTCGCCATCGGAATCATCTTCCAGCTCAGCTTCGGAATCCTCCTCCAAGTCTTCATCGTCCTTATCTCCATCGGACTCGGGTTCCGGTTGTTTCACTTGTTTCTTTAGCTTTTTGGGCTTCAACCATGCATCGTTGTCGTCTGTGAAGCCTTTGGGTGCCTTCGATTTCTGGCCCTTGGGGGCAGGCACCAGTTGGGGCACCTCCTCATCGGAGGAAGCCTCCTTCTGCTGCACCACCTCCTCGTCCTCATTTTCTGGTTCGCTGTCGCTGTTGTAGGCCGTTTTCCTCTTAACTTGTTGCGGCTGTTTTCCTTTCGCCCGTTTCTCCTGCAGTTTGGCCTTTTGCACAACTTTCTTCTGCTCCCTCTTCACGGATCGCTGCTTCTGTCGGTGGGATAGCTTCTTTTCCTCCTCCTCCATGGGAGCTGAGAAACAAATCATTTCAAATTTAGTCCTGAAAGTTCTAAGGGGGAATCTTTACTAGCACTCACCAAACGATTGCTTGCGAAAGACCGGCGCTCCCTGTTTGCGCGCCTTGCGGCCAGGCCCCTTCTTCGGTTTTTCACTGTACTCAGCCTTGCGACCCATATTTTTAATTTAATTTATCTGGTTTTTTGGAGCCCTTTAAGTTTACTCCACGTGCGCCGCTAAATAGAGGTGGAAAAACATTATTGCTAACATCGATATTTATCCATCTCTATAAGAAAATGGTGGATGTACTCGCTCATATCGATAACGCTGGTGTCTCCGCTAGCAATGCTAACATTGATAATTTTCATCACTAAATACAACGTTTTTCTAACATAAATGTTAAAATTATCACCACGCATTTTACTTTACACAAATAGGTTAAATGCTTTATTAAATTAACCGAAACGATTTTTATAATAAATGTCTTTTAAATAATAGTTTATACATTAGTACGCTTGTTCTAAAAACAGTCCCCCTTAGGCTCTGCCAACGGAACAACAATTAAAATTGAAAATATGTAAATGTAAGTATATGTTAATGTAAATATGTAAGCAAACAGAAAAAAAATCTGAAATTAATTTTTCAATATCTCAACCAGTTTAATTAATAATAAAATGCTAGCACCAGCTTAAAAATCGGCTAAACAATATTATTGCCAATTTGAATTTGAAATCTGTTAGGCGGGCTGCCAACCTGCTGCTGATCGCATAGGTTGGGCAACCCTGTTTTCCAGTTGCTTGGATTGGTCACTGCCCTGTTCAAAAAACTGCGCTTTATTGCGGAAAGTATAAATTATTGCATATAATGGCTTACCTGGAGAAAATAGCAGAGTTTAAGAACTGGGCCACCAGCCTGGGATGCCCGCCCTCTGCGTTGCCCACTGATGATGCGCTGCGAAGGTACGTCTTGGTGGAAGTAAGACAAATCCCACTTTCTAATGGCCAAATTTGGCATTCCTTCAAAAGGATTTTAAAATCCGGCTCCAGTGTGCTCCTGAGGCAGCTGCAGTCCCGCGTCCAGCCGGTGGAATATGTACGGGAGGTCCGCGAAAACCTTCTGATTGCCCAAGTGGCCCGCTACAAGGACAAAATGGTGCCACTGGCTTCCCGGAGCTTCCAGCCACCGGAGCTGCAGAGGTACCAAAAGATCCAGGAGCTAAAGAAGCACGAGGAGAAGGCGGATCAACAGCTGGCCGAGGCCAGAAAGGAGTTCCAGAAACTATCCGCCAGCATCAAGACCAAGAGTGAGTAGCAAACCAACCCAGCAGTGCCCCTATCTAATCGTAGCAATGTTAATCCTCTACAGATATTCAAACTATCAGTGCGGAGAACCGCAAGCAACTGCTCGAAGCGAAGTGCAATATCCTAGAGCTAAAGCTGGAGTCCCTGAACAAGAACTACGACCAGGAGCAGAAGAACAAGGCCCAGATCATCTCCACCACGCCCGTAAAGCAGAGTGCCCGGAATTCCAGCGAGGTGCAGGCCAGCCGGGCCGTGGAGCAGGCTCTCAAGCAGCTTGAGACATTCTACGGGATGTGCGATGAGGGGAATGCGGTCCACAGCCTGTCAGAGGACAAGCAGCGGCTGTGGGACGACATGCGGACCACCTTTGCCGACACACCCAACGCCCTGCTTCTTAACGTCATCATAAAGAGCAAGGAGGAACAGCTGCAGCACATAATGCATTTGAATGAATCTAGGGACAACTGCAACACGGCCAAGTCACCACTGAACAACTACGAGGTAAAGTTGCTGAAGACGAAGGCCGATATGCTGGGCCTGGCGTCCAAATTCCTTGGGGCACAAAAGGAGCTGGAACAGAAGGAGGAACGCTTCTGCCGGGAGTACAGTCTCTTTGTGGACAAGCTGCAGACGAAAGTTTACAGCTTTAATGGCATCAGCTTGGGGGACGAAGAAAACGCCGATGAACTAATCAGCGACTATCTGATGCACTACAACTTGCGCAATTTCAATCGCGCTCAGAACGAATTCCTGCGCGAGCAGATCGAGCAACTGCGGGTGGAGCTGGAGACGAGCGCAAAGCAGCTGGAAAACCACGACCTAAAACTGGGCTCTGTAAGGCAGGTGTATAGCGACGTCAACGCCAGCATCAACCGCATCCAGCAGGACATGGTGCAGCTGTCCCAGATCAAGGAGAAGATCCTCTTCTCACGCAATATGATGAAGAATCTGCTGGACGACATGCAGGCCGCCGCACAGAAGCAGAACGCCAAGTCGCAGCTGTTGAGCACCAAGTTCAGCAATATGTCCATGCTGGGTGTGGAGAGCTTCTGCCTGGCCAACGACAGTGTTTTTTCCAGCACCAAGGTGGACTTCGATGGCAATTGCAGCACCATGAACTCCTCACTGCGTCGCAGCTTCGAGAGCAAAACACTGATGCCTGGGAGCGCAAACACCACCACTCTGGTTGCAGCATCCGGAAGCACTGTACCCTCGCACTTGCTGGAAGTCAATACCTTTGTGGAAATACCGCTGGAGAAGTTGAGCTGCGTGCCACGCGCCTGGTAGATACCTCACATATGCACATCACCATATTTTCAATTAACCAGGAATACGTCCTTTTTCTGACAGCTCCTTCCTTCTGTCGGCCAATCCGCTCATCGTCGAGGCCCAAGAGCTGGCCTCCACTGCCCAACTGGCGCCGGGCTATTTGCTAACCCCCTTCGGCGCTCTGCAGGAAGTCCGCAAACGCATTTTGTGGGCGTCGGCAATTGCCGCACACTCCTCTGACTTGAAATTGAATGTGCAGCCGTTAATTGGTAAGCTCAACTCAGACATTTTGTCTCATATCCGCCTGAGTGGCAAACCAATCTCCCTGTCCTCTAGTTGATCCGCACGATTTGAGGCTGAAGGCGAGTCGTCAGCACGAGGAAATTGACCATTTGCTGGACAACCTGATGGCCATCGGGGTGAAAACTGAATTGCAACTGAAAAAGGCCGAGCGCATCTTCCACTTCCTGCTCGAGAATCCGTTGCGTCGCTATGTTCCCCCTGGTAAGCGATACAATAATGGAAGCTTCGGGGACTACGAGTCCGAGTTCAATCTTTACTATCGCATGGCAACCAATGGGGCTTCGATCAGGGAGCCCCCTAATTACACCGGGCGAAAGCATTCCGAGAGTCGCGATTAGTCTTATTCTTATATTTTAGTTACTTTATCGTTCTCATTTACACATTTTTAAAACTAAATGAATTTATTGTTAAAAACTCACGTTTTTTTTTGTATTATTTTTATTGATTTTTTTGTTGGTTTCAGTTTTGTTTTTTTGTCGTTTTTTATTACAAAGTCGAAATTGATTTTACCCACGCAAAAAGTTGGGTACAAATGCCTTGTTATTCAAAAGATTTTCTTATTGTGCTTAAGAGCTAATAATGTACACAACTTTTGTTTGTTGCCTTTTTTCGAAAATGGATTTTTGCCTCGATTATGGGTTACGTTTTTAATGGGATAGTCTTCGAGTTGTCAGATTTGCGTAACGAAAATACTTTATTATTTATTAAATAAAAATAAAATATTCTCTTAATTGTCGAAGCAAAATCGGAATGCTGTGATGTATCTTGCTTAGATTTAAATATTTAAAACATATACAGTGCCAGATCAGAAAGAAAAACGAAACGGATCAAGCTGAAATGCATCGTTTGCTTCTGGTTGGATTTGAATTTCGAATTGAGTTTGGTTTCAATAGTCTAATAAATTATAGTTCTAGTTATCGTTGGCCCTTTACTTAGCCTACTTAACTTAAGACATAATATTGGACGTTCGAAAATAGGGCTGCGCTAAACGGAAACGAAAGAAGCTACAAAAGTAATGAGACTGGGGACGGGAATCATTTGAGACGACTATTGCGCGGTTATACGATGTGTTTTTCGATATATCTATTTTATATATGTTTATGCATTCGAGGGTTGCGTGATGGATTGAATTTGGAGCGCTTGGAGTCGGCGGGCGTGGGGCCCATTGCCTTATCTGGCGAAGAGCAGCGTCGCCAGGATGCCGACCAGGGCGAACGAGGTGGCGGCCACCTCCTCGGCTCCGGCGAAGTACGCCTGTCCGCAGGCGGGCGGGCACACGGGGATGATGGTCTCGAAGAGATTGACGCGCGCCTCGGCCTCTCCAAAGCGGTTGGTGGCCTTGCACACATAATCTCCGTACTGGCGCTTCTCGATGGTGATCACGCGGAGCGTCGAGTCGGTGTACTCATCGGCGGTGGCGAAGTGCGAGATGCTGTAGTGCTGGTTGTTGGCCAGTTGGATGTCGTCCTTGGTCCACACGATGGCCGGTGGCGGGTAGGCTTCGATGTGGCACTCCAGGTCCATGTCGTACTGCAGGGCCTGTCCCAATCGTGGGCGGGGAACGGTTATAACCGGGGCGAACTCCACTTCCACGTTGATGTTTCGCCGGTCGCCCTTGCTCACTCCGTTGTCGGCCACGCAGTAGTAGGTGCCGCGATCCTCCTTCTTCACTGACTTGATGCGCAGGATGTTGCCCACGTAGGTAGCGCTATCTGGAATAGAGAGATGGATAATGGTTCTCATTAGTCACCTGTGTTTTTGCTTTAACTACAATTTTATACCCTTGCAGAGGGTATTATAATTTTGGTCAAAAGTGTGCAACGCAGTGAAGGAGACATCTCCGACCCTATAAAGTATATATATTCTTGATCAGGATCACCTCCTGAGTTGATATAGCCATGTCCGTCTGTCCGTCTGTCCGTCTGTCCGTCTGTCTGTCCGTCTGTCCGTCTGTCTGTTTCTACGCAAACTAGTCTCTCAGTTTTAAAGCTATCGAGTTGAAACTTTGCACACACCCTTCTTTCCTTTGCACGCAGTATATATGTCGGAACGGCCGGGATCGGCCGACTATATCCTATAGCTGCCATATAACTGAATGATCGGAAATGCCATAACTTTGGTGTTTGTAAAGTTAGGAAGTTGAAATTTTCTATGGGTTTTATATTTGGCCAATCAATTCGACCTACCAAATTTCAAAGGGATCGGCCGACTATATCCTATAGCTGCCATATAACTGATTTATCGGAAATGCCATAACTTTGGTGTTTGTGAAGTTAGGAAGTTGGGATTTTCTATGGGTTTTATATTTGACCAATCAATTCGTTATCAGCTTGTTAGAAAAAAACAGATGTCTTAGGACCCGTCAATAACACAAAAATAATTCATGGAATTGGATTTTTATCAACACGATCTATTTTTTGGCAATTTTGGTTTGCTCAAGAAACTGGATTCCACTTAACAAAAACCAGACCGAAAATTGTTATTTTGACTTTTATGTATAAAAACCTACTACCTATTTTGTTTTAAATGTAAAACCGTTTTTAAATAAAAATCACGGTAGTCCTTTAGCAATATAAGTGCCAATAACTATTAAATTTGTAGCCTGGAAAAAAGCACTTTGTAATGGTAGTCTTATCATTAAAATTAAACCATTTTTTTATATTTGCAGAGGGTATTATAATTTTGGTCAAAAGTGTGCAACGCAGTGAAGGAGACATCTCCGACCCTATAAAGTATATATATTCTTGATCAGGATCACCTCCTGAGTTGATATAGCCATGTCCGTCTGTCCGTCTGTCCGTCTGTCTGTCCGTCTGTCTGTTTCTACGCAAACTAGTCTCTCAGTTTTAAAGCTATCGAGTTGAAACTTTGCACACACCCTTCTTTCCTTTGCACGCAGTATATAGTCGGAACGGCCGGGATCGGCCGACTATATCCTATAGCTGCCATATAACTGATTTATCGGAAATGCCATAACTTTGGTGTCTGTGAAGTTAGGAAGTTGGGATTTTCTATAGGTTTTATATTTGACCAATCAATTCGTTATCAGCTTGTTAGAAAAAAACAGATGTCTTAGGACCCGTCAATAACACAAAAATAATTCATGGAATTGGATTTTTATCAACACGATCTATTTTTTTGGCAATTTTGGTTTGCTCAAGAAACTGGATTCCACTTAACAAAAACCAGACCGAAAATTGTTATTTTGACTTTTATGTATAAAAACCTACTACCTATTTTGTTTTAAATGTAAAACCGTTTTTAAATAAAAATCACGGTAGTCCTTTAGCAATATAAGTGCCAATAACTATTAAATTTGTAGCCTGGAAAAAAGCACTTTGTAATGGTAGTCTTATCATTAAAATTAAACCATTTTTTTATATTTGCAGAGGGTATTATAATTTTGGTCAAAAGTGTGCAACGCAGTGAAGGAGACATCTCCGACCCTATAAAGTATATATATTCTTGATCAGGATCACCTCCTGAGTTGATATAGCCATGTCCGTCTGTCCGTCTGTCCGTCTGTCTGTCCGTCTGTCTGTTTCTACGCAAACTAGTCTCTCAGTTTTAAAGCTATCGAGTTGAAACTTTGCACACACCCTTCTTTCCTTTGCACGCAGTATATATGTCGGAACGGCCGGGATCGGCCGACTATATCCTATAGCTGCCATATAACTGAATGATCGGAAATGCCATAACTTTGGTGTTTGTAAAGTTAGGAAGTTGAAATTTTCTATGGGTTTTATATTTGGCCAATCAATTCGACCTACCAAATTTCAAAGGGATCGGCCGACTATATCCTATAGCTGCCATATAACTGATTTATCGGAAATGCCATAACTTTGGTGTTTGTGAAGTTAGGAAGTTGGGATTTTCTATGGGTTTTATATTTGGCCAATCAATTCGACCTACCAAATTTCAAAGGGATCGGCCGACTATATCCTATAGCTGCCATATAACTGAACGATTGGAAATGCCATAACTTTGGTGTTTTTAAAGTTAGGAAGTTGGGATTTTTATGAGTATTAAGAATGCATCATATGAATAATTTTGGAGAATATAATTTACAGAGTATTCTGCAAGGGTATATCAACTTCGGCTCCGCCCGAAGTTAGCTTTCCTTTCTTGTTATTATTGATTATGGCAATGACTGTTAATACTGACTTGAATACACAAAGTTTTAAACTAACCATAAAACTAGATACTTAAAACCACAGTACTTAAAAGTTCAATAGGCAATCATACATATATCTAACACACTTGAAATCAAAAACTCTTAGTTCATTTAAAATCTATAATACTACATATCAACATAGACAATTGCTTTTAGTGTGGTGCAACCATTTTCATTATAGGTTTAATCTTATCCGCTGTTTAAGCGATGCGCGTTCGAGTGCGAACACATCCACTAGCCATTAATGGAGCAGCTCTAAACGCTCTCGGTGGCAATCTATTGTGTTTGTGCAGCGGGGGCAGAGTCAAAAATCCGATTTTAATGAGCCAACCCGGAGCACATCCGTTGGCACTAGCGGGTGACCTTTTCCAGTGTCCACGCTCTGTGGAAGGCGCCCAGAGAAACAATGGCAGCGTTAATGACCTCTAACAAGTAAAGCATTTTGTTTGGGCCTCTGTGCGTTTGCGTTGCCAACTAATTTTGAAAAACGGAGTTCGCCTGCACTTAGCCATGAGTGCTAGGAAGGAATGGGATTGGGAACTGGAAGGGGTAGGAGCTGAGCAACTGAAGCGTGAACGTGAATGGGAATAGGAATTGCACTGCGAATGCCGAATGCGAAATGCGAAAGGTGCTCCGGGTTCATAACCGGAAGTTGGCTCAGCTCGTCGGGGGAAACGAGGGTGTATGATGCAGTGGAAACGAGTGCAATGAGCCTAGGGATCTGTTCCCTCATCCACACACAGATACTACCCGCTTCTGTGTGCGTGTCTGTGGCTGCTCTTCAAACATTTGCCAAAACAATTCAGGCTCAAACAATTGACACAAACTACATGGAGCAGTTGTGCACTGGGAAAAGTACGTGTCTATATTTCTAGAAATATACTTTTCCCTTTCGTATTTTTGGATTATTCGCACTGAAAAAGTATTAGAAAATACTGAAAGCTAATAGACGAAAATATCACAAGCAATGGTTTTGAAGAGCAAAGATCCCATATTTTGTAACACAATGTTAAAGTATTTTTTTCTGTGCTTAAATAGAGGTGGGCTGGCAAGGAGCCGTATAAACCCGAGGAGCATTGACCAAAGCTCTGGAATGCCCTGAAAATATGTTTTATGCGAATTGCACATAAATGCGGGCCACAAGCCAAAGGGGGGAAACTCGAGTGCGGCTTGTGTCTGCTCAACTGAAACATTTCAAATTAATTGCGCCTGGGAATCGAAGTAACACATTTCATTAAAATTGGATTGACAGCCCACCCCTCCGCCCTAAAACAGAGCCCTCGTGTTAGCAATGGGTTAAGGCGGTGGCCCAACAACTGCATCGGTTGACGAGCTAAAATGGCATCGTGATGCGGGCATCTGAGAAAACAACGAAACAAACTCATTTCAATATTAGAAAAGCACACACGAACAGAAGTACCCGTCTTCAATAAATGCATATATATCTCAAAGCAGACTTGTAGAGTGCGAGAGAGCAGGCGAGGGCTTTGTTTAATTAGTCCAATGGAAAATGATTCACGTCGGATTAAAGTGTCATGAGTGGAACACATTTGTGTTTGTACAATTGGGCGGGAACCTAAAGTTTTCAGATTCTCTTCTCGAAATGGTAAACTATATAACTATACAAACTCCAACTTATTACAAGTTGGAAAAACAAAGGAAGATTTATTACTCTAAGTTTTGAATCTTTTCAATTTTCAATTTAAGTTAAAATTGTCCGAAATTAAGTAAAAGACAATTTTTTCGTGCCACTACAATTTGCTAACATTACCGGCCAGATAAAACCCACACAATATTCTCAGGCCTCTCGCATCAATAAAGATGCAAGTAGTTAAAGTTGACTAGGACTACTCCCTACTCAGCAAGTAAAATCAGTGGCGTTTGTAACTTACGAGCGCTCACTGTGAATATTCGGAGGGCCGCAGCCTAAAACAGGTTCTTTCTCTATATCTAGCCCAGAAGTGATCTCAGATTCGGTTTTTGTTGCCCTTTACCTTGCAGTCAGCTCTGCGTTTGGCAGCATGACTTCGGCCCTATATACAAACCAGATAACCCTGGATCGAATGCAGTTGTAAGTGCAATGGATACATTTATAGTTCACAGACTACCCACTCGTAATGTCAAGTGGGTAGGCCCAGCATAGTGTTACTATTTGTTATTTATTTTCTGATGGACTACCGCGCATTCGCTGGACTGTGAAATGATATGCAAGTCAGGTACAAAAGAGCCCAGGAATTTCAGAACTTCAAACGTTCCCAAACATTTGTCGCCTGTAAACCGATATACCGTTAGAGTGTAAGAACTGAAAAACTCTTTATGTTTGCGATGGGGTCACGCATGCGCGTAATTGGGGCGTGTCAGAAAGTGGCAATGTTTAATTGCTAATTAGTTATGCGACACAAACAAAGAAGCGGAGAGATGTGGCAGAGAGAAGAAATTAAATACATCTGCCAGTTTCTTGAATACAAGATATTTCTCTTTCGCTCTTTGGCATTCATAAATGCAGAATGAATGCCTTGAATTGACTCCAGACGCAAT